GTAAGAATGAGCTCTGTGAGGCTGGGCAGAGCCTGCTCCAGGTTCTCACCAATCCGACTGAAGAACAAGAAAAATCAAAGGTTTCATTTAGGGCAGGAATTAGCAATGGTGCAAATATACAGAGAAACTCAACAACCCAGTCTGACACTGGCAGAAGTTTGGGTGAGCATCCAAAACACTTTTCTAATAAAGCTGGCAATAAATCACTGCAAGAATATTAGGTGCAATATGAGATTTAAATCCATTCCCTTGCAGGCATCCCTTTTTTCTGGAGCTGATTACTGAAATCCAAAGATGTGGCCAGATCCCAAACTCTGCATCTCGTTGTCCTGGCTGAGAAACAAACACTGACTTTTGCACTGAATCAGGAAGGACACTGAAAGAGGGCCCACACAGTGCTCAGTGCTGATTTTATTGCCTGAAACAAACACTCCTGCATCTGCCCAGCACTGAAAGACACACACACTCCTCTCCCCCAAGAGCATTTTCCTCTGCCCAGAGTCCCATCAGGACAAAGCACAGTCCTCACCAAATCCTGTTGTTATTCATGAGGAGCGTTTTCAGCCTCCGAAGCAGGGGGAACCCGTCCAGCTTGCGGATCTCGTTGTCAGAGAAATCGATGGCATCAAACTGGTCCAGAGTGGCACCCAAGTTCTCAATGACAGGGATTTTATAGCCTGGAGAGAGAGTGCAGGGCAGGGATTAGATGGTGCCCACAGCAGAGCAGAGCACAACAGTGTGTGGGGGCAAATCGGGATGCACTGGGGATGCTGATAAGGCTCAGACAAAACACCTCCCAGACCAAACTCTCCTCCCCACCCAACAGCCCTCATGGCTTTTTGAATCCTTCATCCTCCCCCTCAGCAAAACCCCAGCAAAACTCCGAGCCGAACCCACCTTTCGCCATCACGGCACATTTCTCCCACATTCCCCACAGAATCCCCTTCTGGTGGTTGGCACGAGATGATCTTTAGGTTCCCTTCCATCCTAAACCGTTCTAGCACTCTGAGATTCACCCCCTCACATCCCCCGCAGGTCCCGAAGCCACTGCAGCCTCTTCAGGCGCTCTTCATCCCCACCCCCGGCCGCTGCAGCCCCTCCAGCACCTTCCCCGCGGCACCCCCGTCCTCCTTCCGCACCTCCGGCCGCAGAAAGCGCCAGGCCCCACTGGAAGATCCATCAGGGACCCTCCGAAACCCCGTCACAGCCTCTCCTCCGGGCCCCACCACAACCCGCACCCACCCGGTCCGCAGCCCTCAGCCCCTTCCCAGCGCGGCCCTCTCGCCCCGCGGGGCCCGCGCACCGCGCAGGTCCAGCTCCCGGTCGCGGACGGCGTTGGTGTACTGTGCCGCCTGCTCGATCAGCTCCGCCGTGAGCTTCACCATCGCGACACACGGCGACAGACGGCGATAAACGGCGATAAACGGCGATAAGCGGCGACACTCCGGGACACAGCGGGACACAGCCGGACGGACACGCCGGGCCGGACGCGCCGCGCCGCCGCAGCACACCGCACCGAGCGCCGAGCGCGCGCAGGCCGGGCGGCCGAGCGCCGAGACAGCGAGCGGCAGAGCCCGCCCCTGCCCGCCCGTCCGCGCGTTCCCTTCCCCTCAGGGACTGATACAGCCCCAATACCCGTCCCTGTGTTCCCCTCAGGGACTGACACAGCCCCAACACCCGTCCCTGTGTTCCCCTCAGGGACTGACACAGCCCCAGCACCCGTCCCTGTGTTCCCCTCAGGGACTGATACAGCCCCAACACCCGTCCCTGTGTTCCCCTCAGGGACTGATACAGCCCCAATACCCGTCCCCGCGTTCCCTTCCCCTCAGGGACTGATATATCCCCCAGAACTCCATCCCTGTGTTACCCTCAGGGACTGATATATCCCCCAGCACCCCATCCCTGCCTTCTCTTCCCCTCAGGTACTGATATATCCCCCAGAACTCCATCCCTGCCTTCCCTTCCCCTCAGGTACTGATATATCCCCCAGAACCCCATCCCTGCCTTCCCTTCCCCTCAGGGACTGATATATCCCCCAGAACCCCATCCCTGTGTTCCCCTCAAGTACTGATATATCCCCCAGCACCCCGTCCCTGTGTTCCCCTCAGGGACTGATATATCCCCCAGCACCCCATCCCCGCGTTCCGCTCCTCCCGGGCCAGCTCCCAGCCCCACGCCTGAGCCATGGCTCACAAGCCCAGGAGGGATTTGGCTTTCCTGTCAGCACAGGTGTCCCCAGAGGTTCCCTCCCACCCTTCTGGTGTTTCCAGGCGCAGATTTAGCTGCAGAAATCCGGGCAGAGCAGGAGGAGCTTCACACCATGGCTGGTGCTCCCCTTCAGACAGAACCGTGTTCGAGCACTTGCTGCTCCCCAGGGCACCTTCTGCAGCAGCCACAGCTCTTGGTGCTCTCCATCCATCCCAGCAGCAGCTCAGCCTTTGCTCCTGGACATTGCTTTGCTCATAAACGCCTTCCCCCTGCAGGTTTTGGGGCAGTTTCCCTGCCACTTCCATGTGCATTCCAAGTCTCAGGTGCTGTGGGAACACCCCACAGGCTGCAGCACCACACACCCTTTATCTGTGAGACAAAACGTGCTTGCAAACGTCACTACATCCCCCTAACTGGCTTTGGGAATTTGGGGAACAGCAAGGAAGGGCTGGGAGCAGCGCTGGGGGAGCTGAGGTGGCTCTGCTGCTGTGTCTGGGGCTGAGGCTGGGGCACTGCCTGGCACCACTGGGAAGGGCTCAGCTGGTGGGTGAGCCACAGTGACTGGACTGGAGGTGACATGTAAAGGGATCCCCAGGCCCCCCAAACCTGCTGAATGTCACCAAGCTGCTCTTTCTGGGGAAATCCTCCCCTGGCCTTCATGGCCCGCAGAGCAGGATGAGGAAGGATGATTTCTGCTGCTGCTGCTATCATGGGAAGGATGTTTTTTGTGAGCCATGACATTTCTGTGAACCCAGAGGATGTGATAACAGGTTAAACACTGCTGCCACGCTTGGCACTGCTCAAGGATGGCTTGTGCTTTTCTTTTGGGAGTTTCTCAGGGTATCACCCCGGGCCTGCCTCAGTGCCCAGGACTGCAGATCCCTGCCAGGGATCAGCTGGGCTCAGGCAGTTCCTGTGCTCCTGCTGGCAAAACTCCCTCACCAAAGCCCTATGGGAAAGCACAGAGTCAGGTTTTTATAACAGCTGCATTTGTTTTATAACATAGGAGGGAGCAAGAACAAGAGGGAGCTGTCACAAGAAAAACCCAAGAATTAGCAGCGCTGTTGTACATGACTCAGGCATCATGCAGCGTTAAAGACTTTAGTCATTTCAGGCAGTTCTTACAAGGAGACTCTTTCAGCCTCCTGGAAAGCAGGCCCTGCCTCTGACAAGGCCAAATAAAGCATGGACCTGTCTCCCTTAGCACAATACATCTGTTTGCTTCAGCTCTACAGCCACAATAGAATTGTAATTGCGAGCAGATGGATTCTGGGTCTCAGACGCTGCACACAAGCTCTCGACAGTCCTTTCTTTGCAGTGAAAACTCAAAGCAATGATTTTTAAGATTGTTCCCCCCACCTGCCAACTGCACAATGGCAGATGGCCGTGGCTGCAACCCCAGGGCCAAACTGCAAACGAGGAGTCAGGCTGCGCTAAGATTTTCCAGAAAACAGCTATTATAGATTTGGCTTTGGTGCCAAGAGACAACAGAGAAATGAGCTTTAATAAATTGCCTAAATATGCATTTATCTTGAAGACAGAGCCACTTTGATCCTCTGAGCATACCAGTCAGACTTTAATAGCTCCGAGCAAGTATTGCAACAGCTTGGAGAAATAATCTGAATTTTATTACTTTAGAAGAATGATTTCTGAGGGAAACGCTGGAAGCTGATGTTGTTGCATGAATTCAATGTGCAGAATTTGTTTTTCTTTCCCTGGCATGCTGGAAGGCAGCAGAAAGCAGGATAGAGCTGGAACTGCTGGGGACTGGTCATCTTAAATTGCATTGCCTTCCCCAGTGTGTATTTTAAGTCATGTCAAGATGTAAGAGTAAGCATTTTCCTTTCTTTGTAGCATTTCAGTACATCTAAATATACCAGGGAGCAGTGTTTAGAGGCAGGCTGCTGTGAGCCAGAGAACTGGAAGGCTGGCACAGTACTCCTGATCCACAGCTCCTGTTTTCTCACTAACACAGCAGGAGAAATGAAGTTTGGTATTTTCCAACCAAAGGGGCAGAAGCCAGGAGCATGTCACCCCAGTTCTGACCTCTGGTTTGGCCTGAGACTGAAAGGGAAATCCTGCAGCAAAAGGAATTTCTGTATGTGATTAATTCACATTTATCATCTGATGAATGTGAAGACCAACAAAATGCAGGAGCCCACAGCTGCACAACCCTGAGAAAGCATCTTTCTCTGTGGGAGGGCTCCAATACTTTTATTTTTTTCCTGCACTTAAAAAGCTCAGTTCCAGATATCCAGGCACTACCCTGGGCACTTGGCCCATGGTTGTTGCAAAACCAACACGACAAACAAAGGGTTCTACAGCTCCCTCCATCCCCAACCACACCAGCAGCTCCTCTCCTTCCCAGACAGCCACCAAGGAACAGCTGCTGGGAGCTGCAGTGGGGAACTGGGGAGCTCAGGATGCTCCTTGTCTGAGTGGGGAAGGGGAGCAAGCCTTTCTGCCAGCTCATCCAGGATGCCCCACACTGCAGAATGCACCCACCCGTGCCCCAGCACAGCCCCAAACCCCAGTAAGACGGCCCTGGGTGCACCAGCCCAGCCTGGCACAGGGCAGCCACAGGGCAGGTATTCTGGATTTGAGCTTCTTCTGGAGGTAAAAGACCTTTATAACAACAACAGTGAGGTTTTTGCAGATGCAGCTCATCTGTTCCTGAGCATTTCTCCCACAGGTGCTCCAGCCAAGGCAGCTGCTTTGTCCAGCAAAGTAAGGACATGCAGTGCTTCCAGTCAGGACTTCATGAATTTGGAAAAAACACAGATTCATTTGTCGGGGAGATCAATAGTTTATTAACTTAAAGATCAGTTCACCAAAGCTCCATCTTTCCTTGGATTTGGTCCAGGCAGGTGAGGGCTGGAGACAGTATGGCTTTCTCCTCCTCACCTGGCTGAGGTGAGCTCTTGTGGGCAAGCCCAGGCAGGGCAGGTGTCGTTGCAGCCGAAACCAAGCAGGGATTATCCCAGTTCCGTGTGGAACTGGTGACAATTTCACTGGCAAAAGGTTTAACTCATTAAAACTATTAACAATGAAAATCAGAACATGCAGCGTAGGAAAGAGTGTTTACATATGTCTCGTGCAAAGAGTGGCTTTGCAGGGTCAGAGAGGAGAAAAGGAGAAGGAATAAGACACAAAAAGATACCCCACTCCCATATAAAAAATAGTCCACAGAGAAAAAAAACAAGGATTGTATAAGTTATTTTTTAAAAATCTGTAAAACAACATAGCCAAGGATATTTTAAACACAATTATATAAACACCACATGACTTACTATTAAGAGAGAGCATGAAAAGGTTTGTTTCAGGGAAGGGTTTTGTAGAATTAAGTTTACTGGCTGGATCCCTGGAATGTCTCATTTGGGAAATAGATGCCCAAGAAAAATCACTGCCATGAACAGGAGGATTTTGTGAGAGAGAGAGAGAGAGGGGTGTACCCAGCGAAACAGGGGGAGGATCATAACGCAAAATGCCAAGAAAGATTAACTGGGACAACATCTCGTTTAGAGGAAGGATTTAGCTTGTTCCAGAACTGACTTGATCAGCAATGCACAAGCAGTTCCAGGAGGGAAATACATTTCATGGTAAGGCTGGTCCGTGTGGACAACCCCCCCAAAAACCCTACTCCTTGTAGGCACACGGGTTTTGCCTGGCTGCAGTTACCAGCAGGGGCTGACACACCTGCAGAGCCACACGGGGCAGCTCTGGCTTTGGTCCTCAAACCTCCAGTTATTGCCACGGCCAGAGGGAAGCAGCGAATCCGAACAGGAGTGCCCGAGGGGGCTGTGGGCCCTCTCTGCAGCCGCCTGGTTCATCGTTTTACCTATGTACAGAGCACGGCGCTGGCAGTGCAGGGTTAGCTCAGCTGGCACCTGGCACAAAAGGGTACCAAAAATGAGCCAGAATCGGCTCTTTCCTCGCAGGGGTGTGTGAAGTCCTGCATCCCTCGTGGCGAGGGCTCCCGTCGGCCGCTGGGAGCGGGCGGATCAGTAGGATTTCTGCGAAGAACCAAGTGTGTGTACATGGATCATGCATTGGTCCCTGCTCACCAGGAGTGTTTGAGAGTGTTAATATCACCACTTGTCTGCTGCTTCCAGGCCTTGATCACTCAGGGTACGCTCCAATCTCTGCTTAACATATTGCTATAGAAACGCGCCGACAGTGATATTAAAGCTATCAAACTTACGAGCGAATGCTTGACAGCACCATGTAAACTCTCCCAAAGCTGAAAAAATAAACTTTTGTCCTAAACATTTGGCAAAACTGGGCTGGCAGTCAGTGGAAGTCCTGGATGGATGCAGCCGCTGAACTTTACCCGGCCATAAGACACGTCTGACAGCAGAACTGCACAAACAGCTTCTTTTCACAGAGCTTGTTTGATTTCACCATCTCACAGAAAGTCTTGTCAGCTGGGAGGCCGGGGTGAGCAACAAGAGAAAATGAGAGCAGATTAACATTTTAAATAAACAAACATTGCACATAACAGGGTCAGCAACTGTGCCAGTGTTGCGGGAGACAGAATTGAATAGGAGGCACTTTTTAAGGGCATCTTTCACATGGTTTTAATGAAGGAATAAAGGGGCTTTGCAGTGAGTGGAAGAATTAGCCCTAAAACTGAACTATAATGAAATACAAGTGTTTGGATGTGTTTGAGCAACAGGCAGATATCCAGAAGCAATGCCAGGTGAGCCACCTGCCCCCCACAGCCAGAGCCCAGCCTGTTGCAGCCATGCCCCAGCAAGCCCAGGAGCTCCAGCACTTTGAATGGTGAAGGGAATCCCCCAAACCTCATTTTTGCTACCAGGAGAGCACTGCTTTGCCAGCAGCTCTGCCACTTACCATTGGTGCAGGTTTCGTTTGTCACACAGGAGCCACCAAGGAGGCTGTAACCTTCCTTACACCTGAGGCAGTTTCCACTGGAGCCCTCGCAGGCTGAACAGTGGTCATCACACCTGGGGACAGAGATCTTGCTGTGGCCTGAGCCAGCACCAACACCCTGGTTAGGCCACCCTAAATGGGCTGTCAGCCAAAAGACATCTGCTGGCACTGTGACAGCCAAACCAAACCAGAGGACATGGAAAATGGCAAATTTGAAGCTTGAAATGTTATTGAAGCCCTGGGTTTGGTGAGGCCAGCTCAGTGCCCAGTGACAGCTAGTGACATCCCAAAAGCTCTTGCCTTCTGGGAAGATTCAGTGGGACATGTGCCCCACCTCCCAGCCATCCCAGCTAGAAAAAGAGCTGCAAAGGGAACCTGTGCTGCTCCCATCCATTTGCTCAGAGTGAAGAGCTCAGCACTGTGCTTCCTGCCTGGGGACAGTGGCTTGTGGAGATTGTGCCTGAAATCTCTGGGAAGGGATGCTGGTCCCTTGTTCCTCCCTGCTGAAGAAGCAGTGCAGGTGAGTGAAACCCCAGCAGGCAGGGATGGCGTTGTGTGTTCCCAAGTCAGTTTTAATCTTTGCCTTTCATGTTTGCTTTCATGAGGCTGAATCCACTCCCACTCCCCACTTAAAGTGCAGAGCTCCGGAGAGAGTGGGAGCAAATTGTTGCCTCCCGGCATCTCCCTGTCTCCCGCACACAGCCCCGTGCTGGGCCAAGGAGTGGGGAACTCTGCTCCAACCTGGCCACGGGGCAAACGGAGCAGGTTTAATTGAAAGCTGGAATATTTATTTAAACATTGCTGTTCCTCCCACACCTCCTCCAGAGAGCCCGGGGCTGAGGCTGAGCCCCTTCCACCATAGCCCTAAGACACCTTGGCAGGCTCTGGCAGGAGAGTGTGCAGCTCCACTGCTCTGAAATCCACAGGGCAGGAGCATGTGGGGTCCAGCCCCACAGCTGCCCTGGCTCCCTCATCCCTGTTTTAATTTCCATCAAGCTGTAAGCTGCTTCCAGCATGATCCTCTCATGGCTGGCAGTGTCCTCCATCAGCCCTGGCTTTGCTCTGGTGGTTTCCTACCTCTTGCAGACTTTGTTGGGCAGCCCGTGGCTGTCGGCGGGGTAGAAACCCTCTCGGCAGGCGGGGACACAGCGCCAGTGGGGTGCAGGGCCCTCGGGGGTGCAGGGGGTGCAGTCCTCCTCGCCTGGCCCTGTGGGGACAGGGAAAAGGGCAAAATGGCACCTGTGTGGTTTTGGAGACAGTGCAAGCATGGCCATAGCCCCACGTGTGATGGGGGAACCAGCTTGGCTTTGTCTTGCTCCTGAACAAGATGATTGTTTTGCCATGGGGTCCCGCACATGTGCTTGGTTCTCACCCCATAAAATTCAGCTTCCATCCCAAAAAACCCATCTGGGACCCAGTGTCTGTCTCTCTGCAGAGCCGAGAGCTGCCTACCAGGGCTTGGTGAGGAACAGCACCTCAAAATCCCTTGTGGGCCATCAGCCACCACTCCCAAGCATGCACAGGGTTGGATTTCCCCAGGCTGGAAGAGAAGATGCTGAACTGGGCCAGGGAGGAGCTGGAGGAGGAAAGTGCTCCAGAGAGGAGCTGGGAAAGCAGAGGGCCCACTCTGATGCCTGTGTGCTGTGGCTGGACAGCAAAGCTCAGTGATGGAGGTGGTATCATTAAAGGGCTTCCACGCACTAAGCTTGAGAAATGGTTATGCAGGAAAAGGAGGAAGGAAAAGGCTGGAAAAATAATTGTGGTGGAGTATGTTCACACTGACTGGAATAAGAATTAGAAGGGAAATCATTTTCTTCAGGGATTAAGAGCCCATTCCCTTCCAGCCTTGCCAACAAGATCAATAAATATTTTGGATTTAGACTAAGGCAATTGCCCATGTATGATAGAAGAGGTTCATGCCACTGAACACGGATTGTCTAGAGATCATATTATCATCAGATCTATGATGATTTCAAGGGCAGACGCAAACATTAACAATGGAAAATAATTGGACTTGCAGGAAGTAAGAAAGGCAGGATTTAAAGGGAATGCTGATCAACTTGAGGCAGCTGGAGGAAGCTGGGAGCAGCCAGCCCAGCACCGTGGGGCAGCTGGGATAACATGGGATAACACAGGCTAACACACCTCAGCTGCCTGACATTTTTATCCACTGCAAAGCCACCTTCCATCACTCCAAGAGGGTTTTACAGCCTCCCCTGCAACCTTATTAAACTGAAGCACCTGGCTTAGGGGAGCTCGAGAAATAAAAAATGGCTCTAATAAAAATGTAAAAACTCCCCTAAAAACCTTTCCAGCATGAACATATACCTCAGGGGACACGCTGGAGACTTGGGATTGCTTTCCCTAAAGCACTCTCTGCCTCGGCTCAGGGTGGGTGCAGTGGGGATTGGCATCTGATGCAGGAGGGTTTGGGGTTTTGCATGGGATGCTGTGGCCAAGGACATACCTGTGCTGGCGGGGCAGGTCTCGCACCGCCGGGGCTCCCGGCTGAGGTACATGGCAGGCTGGCACTCTGGCACACAGCTCTCCCCTGCCAGGCTGCCGGGAAAGCAGAGAACATTTGCACCCAAAGCTATGGGATATGGGGACTCAGCACAGCCCATTCCCATCTCCTTATCCCCCAGTGTCCTATGGCTTCCTCAGCCTGCAGTGCAGGAGGTGTTGGAAAGCCAGCCAGCGTTTTAGGAGAAATTAAAATCCTGCCTGGACCAAACGGACAGCTGCCGGTTTCTTAATTAAGCATCCAGGAGGAAATAAAAGTATTTTTTTCCCATGGGCAGCCAGCCAGGCTCTCCTGAAGACCTTTTGCACTACTGAGGCTCCCCGGAATAAAAGGAAATTGGTTCAGCACCGTGGCTGGGCTGGTGCTGCTTCGCCATGGCAGGGATGATTTGAAGTCCCGGCTTAAAAGGATATTGGACAATAAAAAACAAGCACCGTGTGGATTATGTCTGACAAGTGCCTCCACTTGTGCTTTTCTGAGGGAGTAGATAATCTTTTGGCAGCGGGAATTCCTTTGTCTGAGCGAGCCCCACTGCTACACCGTGGCCCTGGCTCACTTACAGTGCCTGAACACTGCAGACTGCTATGGGATTGTACTTCCATGAGCAACTGGGTATGGAAAACAGCTTCTCCCTAGTGCTGGCACTGGGCTCTGTGTCCCACAGATGCCGTGGGGCCAGCAGCAGTGGCACCCAGTGGTCTTCGCAGGGTCAGGGCTGCCCTGCCTGCAGTGCTGGAAAATCACTGTCCTATACTAGTCCCACTCAACAGGTACATCAAATAAAATTTTCAGCACGGATGAATCTGAGGGAAGGGTTTCTGCATTTGCAGGGAGCATTCTCAGCCTGCCTGAAGCGGCTCAGGCTGGTACCAGCTCTACACAGCACTTACCCACCACCCTGGAAAGAGCTGGGAAAAATGAAATTAAATTTAAATCATGGTTTTCAGCTAAGAAAGAGACACTAATCACCACCCTAAAATTCCCAGACCTCCAGCACACTGCACCACAGCTGCAGCACCATGGAAGCAGGATCTCTGGTCTTGAACTTAATTCACTCTCTAATTTCCCATCGGTTTTCCCAAATTTAAACCAGAAGTATGAGTGCTGCAGGTATGAACTCCTCCCATGCTGGTGTTTTACCTGAATCCCTCTTTGCATGCAGTACATTTGTCTGCTTCACCGACACATTTTTTACAGCTTTGATGACATTTCAGACAGCGTTTCTGACCTTTCAAAAAACAAAGCAAAGCAGGGAGAATAAAATCTGGACGGTGATTTGCAAGCAGCAGTTGGAGCCGCAAAGCTCCACTGCACCCCAGGGTGGAAAGGCATAACCCTCCCCAGCAGAACCCTGCTATTGCAGGTGACCTTATCTGTCACCACTTGCTGAAAAGAAATATACTTTGCAAACAGCCAGGATCATTAGTTGCAGTCTTCTAATTAAGAGCTGTGAGTCAAGTACCTCTGCTTTGCACCACCCTCTGAACACCCAGAGGTTTCCCTCCCTTCACCGTGCAAAGTGTGTCAAGAGGGAAATTCAAAGCCAATACTCAAGAATCAAGTTGTGTTCTCCACCCAGGGCATTTAAAATAGAAGCAACCCCTGCACATCCTCATGCTGCGACTTGCAAGCGATAAACATCCTTACGTTCCTCGGCGTAGAAGCCGGGCGGGCAGAGCAGAACGCAGGTGCCCATCTCGGGGTGGTGGTAGAGGTTCCTCTTGCAGGCCGTGCACTGGCTGGGTCCCCTCCCGACGCAGCGCTCGCAGCCCTTGTGGCACCGCCGGCACCTCCGGGCGCCGTTGTCACCAAAAAACCCAGCGGGGCACGAGCTCACGCACATCCTGGGGAGGGAACGGCGGCGCTGGGCTTTGGTGGTGGCACCGCTCACCTCCCGCCTCAGGCACCTGCCCCTGTCCCCTCTCCTGCAGCATTTGGGGTGTCCCCCAGCCTTGGCAGCAATCTGAGCTCGTTTATTTCTTATTCTTATGCTTACGGTGTCTTGAAAGTCACAGCTCTAATACGGAGATGGGGAATCTCTTGTCACAGCTGTAGGTAAAGTTTCCCTGTGCCATCCCAAGAGATTGAGGAGTGGAAACCCCAGTTCCTGACAGTTCAACTGGCTGTCCCTTGGGTGTGGGTAACCTCAGCCCATAAAGCCAAAGCTTCTTCCCCAGCGTGATTATGTGGTCAAGATCCTCCAGGACCCTCCAGCTCCATGTGCTCCACCCCACAGTACCCTAATTCAGGACAGGGATCCTCACATCTCCTCCACCCATTTAATTTCTCATACACTTCTTTCTTTATGCAAACATCTATCACTCACACTAAGCTGTGAGACCTGAGGAAAGGTGCTGCTGTCCCCCCCAGGGACTCCATGGGGACACCCCATGACCCCTCACCTGCCAGTTTTCATACTGCCCAGGCTGTAGTGGATGCAGTTCAAGCACTGGTCGGCGTTGGGGCCATCGCAGCCCTGGTCACCGCACTCAGGGTGGCACGGGCCTGAGAAGGGAGAGACCAGCACAGTGTGGAAGAAGCTGAGCACCCTCCAGACACCACTACCAGGATGCCCTGAGCACACCCTCCCTGGATTAAAAGACACCTGGACCCTTCCCCCACCTTATTCCGTATCCTATATCTATTATATTTTAAATTTTATCCTATCTATCCTATGGAGCTGCATGGACTTGGGTGCTTGTCTTTCCTGCAGCTCATCCTTCCCAGAATGAATCCCACCCAGCCATACTCTGGCTGAACACTGGTGCAAGAGCAGCTTTGAAAGAGGGACTTGCTCCTAAGGGAGCAGCAGAGACACCCGCCCCTGCCCGTGCTGGAGGAGGGAAGGTGGGCAGAGGAGCTTTTTTTACCCCTCAGACAGCTGCACCACCAATTTGTGGCTGGGACGGGGCATTTTCCTACCTTCTAATTTCACCATCCTGCTGCCCTGTGCTGGCCACAGGCCCTGATCCTCCCAGCCTGCCTCAGCCCCAGGCAGGATCAGGCCTCGTGGCTCCCCCAGTTTCTACCAGGGTTTGCATTTTCCTGGGTACTCTGGGGGAAGCAACGTGGCAGCTCAGGCAGCGCTTACCCGCGTACTCCTCCTCCTCCTCCGCCACCTCCACCTGGCTCTGCAGGAAGGCGGCTCTCGATGGCTCCATCTCCGACGTTGGCACTTCCAGTGACCTCCCCCGGGACTGGGGCCCGCTCAGGGCAGTGTAGGGGTGCTCGCCTGTCCCGTAGAAGATGAGGCTCCACTCCTTCAACTTCCCTGCGGGGCAGATGCAACATCACCCATCCCACTCCCTGTCTCCCCCATCTCTGGGGGACCCAGTTTTGGGGGAGGCAGGAGGAGGATGGACTGGACCATCAGGACCACTGGCACAACAATGCAGAAGTTAACATTGGATACCCAGAAATGTTCATGAGCCCCTGCGCTTCCAGCCCACACAAATGCAGCTGTTTAAGCCACTTACAAGGGATTTTTAATTCCATAACTCATTTTAATTCCATAACATCTGAGGAACTGCAGCATCACCACAGTCTCCGAGTCCAACACTGGAGAGAACCAGTAATTTTAAAAGCTCCACAATAGAGGATTATTTCTGTCTGACAAAAGCCACCTGGCACACACTGGATTATTTCTTGCTGCTGTTGCTCCAGCCCTCTCTTTGCCTGACACAACAGAAGTCTGAGCTTGGCATACCCCAAAACACTGTAGTGCACCTGGTGAGACTCCCCCAAGGCCTTACACCCACACCAAGACCCTCCACAAGCCACATGGCTTTGGGGAGAGAGTCCAAAAATGCTGCTCCTTCTTTCCAACACTGTTTTTCTTCCAATTCCCCATCAATGCGAGTCACTTCATGCCCGCAGTGTGCTCGGCTTTAACTCCTAATCTCTGTGTTACCAGGAAGGGCTTAAAATTTGCATTACCCAAATCCCTTGGCTCTCCCAAAGGCAGGAGAGGACACACCTGCTGCACTGAGCACTGCTGGTGTGGAGCCTGCGAAGGGCCAAGCTCCGGCAGCATCAGCTGGGGAAGTGCCTTTGCCAAAAGAATTGAATTTCCTTTAAATCTAAAATATCCTGCGTGAGGAAAGCCCAGGCTGCACGAGGCTGATGTGGGGGTGCAGCAGTACCAGCAACATGACACTCATAGTACTTAATTTATATTAAATTAATGAATTTAGTGGTATTAAATTAACATTTAATACTCATTTCTGCTACTAGCTGGGAGCATCTTTCCTCTTTTTCCTCTTGCTGTCCCCTCTCTTCTTCAAACACAGTGCGGACTTTTTGAGGGGATGATTAAGGCACTCATTTTCATTTTGTTTTGCCAAACCCGATGCCCGTGAGGGGCTCAGAAACACCAGCCACAAACTGTAAATACCAGGGCAAAATCAGCTCTGTGGGCGCTTTGCTGCTGCTCTCTGAGTTCAAAAGATTTGGGGTGAGGGCAGCAAACAGAAACACTTTCTGTGCAATGCACCCCCACGTGCACCTCCCGCCAGAAAGTAGCGTGGGAGAAATTTTTAATATACTCCTGGCTTCCTATCAATGATTGTGTGGATTTAACACCCCCACAACACACGCCAGCCCCAGGCAGGATGCTTCACGTCCTGCTGCCCCCAGCCAGCGAGGCGGGGCCGGATCCTGCCCACACGGCTCCTGTGCTGGGAAGGGGTCAGGGAGCAGGCGGCCAAGCTGGGCAAGGGGGACACAGCAGGGTTGGGGACATGCAGGGGGGCAGGCTGAGCCCAGCCACCCCCCACCAGCATGGTGGCAGTCCAGGGAGGATGTCCATCCGTCTGGAGCCCGTGGGGCATCGTCCCCTTGCGCCGTTGCACAACCAACCCACATGCCAGATGTCCCAGAAGCGAAGCAAAACAAACAAACAACAATTACAGCTCTTGGGTTTCCTCGTTTTGACTCATTACAGTTTAATTTTGGAAACCTGGCTCTTGGGTGCAGCCAGTTTACTGCTACTGCTGCTGCTGCTGTGAGAAAACCAGCTTCCAGCTCAGCCAGACCAGCAGCCTCCTGTGTTCAGAGCTAACATTTCATTCCCATGTTTGAAAGTCTGGGCAATACAGTACTCATAGCAAAATTTACAGCCAAGCGAAGCAGCCTAGAAATGGATTTGGGAGCGAGAGGGCCTGGTGGGCTCTGGGGGATCCTTACCTTGCACGGCGGGGTTGCGCACTTGGGATGGTGTGTCGTGGATCTCCAGGGTCCACTCCCCTGCTGCACGCTCCCCCCAGCAGTGGACGGTCATGAACTCCCAGCCCTTGAAGCCTTCATTGGAGTGGTCAAACACCCTGCAACGGTAATGCCACACACCAAGAAATGTGACTTTGAAATGTTGTATTTTATCAGAAAAGGTAGATGGGTTGAAATCCTAAACTGAGGATTGTAGGGACCCCTGCATGTACACACCCTTGTGCACAAAGCTCTCCTGCAGCTGAAACCTGTTCATGTTTCCCACTTTCCCCCAAAAACCCGATGAAACCTACAGCAACCCCCCGAAGGAGGATGCTGCCCAGCCCAGACTCACCTCCTGGCGAGGAGCTGTGACCGTGTCCCAGCTGGGGAGATGAGGCTGATCTGGAGGTCCCCGCGGCGCGGGTGGGCGATGCTGAGCCGCACCACGACGTGCTCCAGGTACAGCACGTGCTGGTCCCGCTGCTCGGCGCAGGCGCTGCTCAGGGTGCTGGCCCGCAGCACGTGGTCAGCTCGGATGTACCTGCCAGGGACGGGGCACGGCGTCAGGATGGGGACAGAGTGCTCCTGGCTCCCAGGCATGGACACCCTGTTAGATTTGGACCTGGTCTCCTGCTGCTTCACAGCAAAAATTATCTTACCTGCCACTGCGATTCCCAGTGTCCTAGCACGGGAATTTGCTGAATTGCTGGATGGTAACCAGATGAGTTTGAAGTGCTTCGAAGATCTATGCCTTATGGGCTGCAAGGGCGCTGCTTTATTATAATTATGAGTGCAGCACTCCTCTTTGGGCTGTAATTAGTGTCTGTATCAGATAAATAGCTTCATGAACACATTTGGCTCTGCACTCATTCCTGTTTTGCATATGCAAGTCTCTAAAAGACTTTTCTGATTAACAGCTCTCTTGCTCTACAGCCAGGCATTGGTAAATGAGTGTCCACTTGGTCAGATCCCTGATCCCACTGTTCACCTAGGAGGGACTGACCTACCAAGGATGAGATGTGAACCTGAGCTGGATTGAACCTGAAGCCAAATTTAAAGACAACCAAGACATTGAAAATTTGATCATCTTTGCAACAATTTACCAGGTTTTAGTGTCTTCCATCAAGACAAAGTGTTCAGTGTAAGGGCAGAGAGACCAACACATCACTGCTCACACAGGACCCACCCAGCAGGCAAGGTGGGTTTGGTCTCTCACTGTCAGCCCTCAAAATTCCCTGCTGATCACTTATCTGGGAAGTGAAATCTTGCAAAAGGAAAAAAAAAAAAAACACCCACTGTCAAAACTGGCCCTGGAGAGCCCTAATGGGACCTGCAACTCGCCGAGCCATAGGCACAGACCCCACAACACTCACTTGGGCACCCTGTCCAGGCTTCCCACGCAGACGTGCTGGGGAGGAACCATCCTCCACTTCTTGGCTTCCACCACAATAGCGTCAGCATCCACCAGCCCAAAGCCATATAGATGGCTAACTGGAAAGAGAGAAGACTCAGAAACCCTCAGCCTTCCCAGCAGGGATCAGGAGCTCCTCCTCAGTGCTTGGTGGAGCATCCTCCAACCATCAGGGAAGGTTTGGAGTTCACCCTGTTGGGGTGTGAGGTATTTCAGCACATGGATCTCCTCACCCTGGCCAAGTTACACCCCAAATCCACACTGGCACAATGGAAAACCCATTGCTGAGAGCAGCCCAAGGAAAGTAGCAGGAAATTCTGCAGCTCAAGAGAATCTCCACCAAACAAGTTTTCCAAATCTCCACCAAGCAAGAGCTCCAAGCATCTCACTCCATGAATTACTGCCCTCTCCTCCCTCCATTTAACAGCCTGAAGGTAGGAATGAACGTGATAGTGGCCACCCACAGTGAATTGTCCCCATAAGTGAAGCTCTGGAGACCTTTCTTTTCCCTTGGTTGGCCGTTCCTGCCCTGCCATCCCCACGGCCTCTCACCTTTATGCCCCGCTCCGTTGGTTTTCCAGTCGGGCGCTCGCAGGTGCCCCGGCCGCGAGGTTTTGACCAGCAGATGCTGGACATCCCTCCAGGTGAGCAGAGGGCTGCAATGACACGTGGCTCATGGGGTGGCTCTGCTGTTCTCAGTCCTCCCAGCAGCAGCAGGTACCCCACTGAGTTAAAAAAAACCCCAAAAACCACACCAGCCACCCCTCTTTCCTCTTTCCTGCTCAGAAAAAAGCAATTGATGATTTAAATGCTGACACCCTCCACCACTTGAGGAGCCCGAGCAGAGTGGTGTGCCCCAGGAAGGGATGCCACATGCCCATGGGAATTGCAGGATTTACTCTTGGATAAGGCCATTTAGTTATCAGGCTCTAGGGTAGAAATGAAGCCAATCAGGAAGGTTTCCCCCATTTTTTTTTGAAGGAGACGGGAGCAAAGCACATCCTGAGGCAGAACAGTGGGCTCAGCAGCTTGCTGATACACAGTGCTGAGCAAACCTTCCCTTTATAGAAATATCAGAAAAAAAAAAAAAAAATCCTGGAAATAAAACCTGGGTTGTTCATTAAACAGAAAAATTAAACCCAAATTGCCTCTACCTCCCCAGGCTGAGTTTGTGTGTTCAGAGTGCTGGACACTGAGTGCTCAATGCTTCTGAGCCCCCTCATGACCCCAGCTCAGGGATATTGCTGGAGAATTTTCCTCGCTTTACTTATAGTCAGTTGTTCAGCATCTCGAGCTGGGATTTATATTGCTCTCGAGCAACATTTAAAGAAAGAAATTCAATTTATTTTCTCTTGTCATAATGGAATGCCTCAGCACCAAGCTCTGGTAGTTAATGTTGCGGTTTATGCCTCAGCTAAACTATTCAAAAATTACATCTAAAGCTTTTAATATATTTGTAATGAAAACTGCATCTCCGGAAATGCTCTTGCCCAACCTGGGTGTTGGGATTAAACCAGAGAGGAAGGAATGGAGCCACAATCACCATCCCTGGATGAGAGTGCAGCACTGCCCTGGGGCTTATTCTTATTTCCAGCCTTTATTTTATTTCCACTCCATAAAAATAATAATAATCTCATGAGAAGACACTCCATGAAGCACAAGGATGCCCAAGGGCTGTTCCTGGGCTGGGGGACCATGATGGAACCAGGATGGGACTGGGATGGGGACAAGAGGAAAAGAGCAGCTGGTTTGAACCAGGGGTGTGTTGCTTACAATCAAGTTCTGTGAGTTTTTGACATTATGAAAAAGTACTCCTTTTCTCCCAGAAATGTAACACTTGCTGAAAACCATCTCTTCTGCTGACATTTCCCAATGTCTGTGATGTTTTCTGATTTTTTTTCCCCCAGGGAGTATTTATAAAACTCCCGTTGGAGCTGGCTGTCAGCGATTTTAATGTACCTCCTGAAAAACCTGACTGATGTCACCAACCCCAAACTTTTCAACACACGGCAACACGTAAGAATTAGCTCAATAAAACACCTGTGGGAAGATCAGATTCCAAACAACAACACTGCCAGAGATTTGAAACAACTCTGTGTCATTTCGGTCACTCCAGAGGAAACAAAACCACCTTGTTTCTTTCAGGTTTTGCTCACCAGGTGCTAAATGTGGGAACATTTCTCCTGAGCAGGTCACACTTACTTTGCCTCCAAAGCCAAGGCGATGATGCCCGCGACCATCGGGGCGGACACGGAGGTGCCGGTGTGGCCGTCGGTGCAGCGGTGCCGGAGATCCGTGGTGACCTGTGGAGAGAGGAGCTGCAGCCCCCAAAATGTTCCTAGCATGGCCACTACCCCATCCAGCACCCCAGATTTGCTTGGGATGCTGCTAGAGAGGAGATGAGCCTGCTGGTACCCAACCCCTGCCACGACTCCAATGCCATCAGAGGGCACAGAGCCCCAAAAATGGGCTGCAGATACATTTGGTGCATGAGAAAACACCCCTGTACTTACATTTTCCTTTGCTCAAAGGTGCAAAAACTATTTGAAAGGGGAAAAAAGTCCATTTGGGGGTGGATCAGCTGGAGGAAAATGTGGATGGAGCGGGGTGACCTGGTGTGGGTACATGTTCAGAGGTTCATAATGAGCTGGGCCATATTAAACACTTTCCTAAAAGCCTCCAGCTCCTGGACTTGGACAAGAATTGCCATTTGCATAAAGGAAAAAAAAGCCATTTCCAGTTTTTTTTTTTTTAAGACAGAGCATGCATGATGTTTGGGTACCAAAAATAGAGGTGGGGGCCAAGAGATGCTTTCTCATTTTAACAGGCTCCTAAGTTTTGAGTTAACCTGGTGATTTCTGGATAGGAAGCTGGTTTGGGATTTTGCCCAACAGTGCTCCAGTAGCACTGGACTGGGGCTGGCCTCAGCCATACAAACACTCCTGGAGTGCTATGAAAATGGCACTTGCATTCTGTTTTTTGGCTGGAAACTAATCTTTTGGGGGTCAAAGAAATCACTCCTCAACACACACACAAAAAAATTTACTTGTTAAAAAAAAAAGCCCACAATTTTTAGTCAGAAGACCCCACTTGGTAGAAATCCCCAGGCTGGGTAAGGTGCTGTGTTGGTGTGGGATGTTTTACTTCCCAAGGTTCAGATGATGCACAGTGATGTCAGTAACAATCAGCCACGGTGTGACCAGGCCACAGCAGCTGTTGGGACAGGGCAAATACAGCCTGGGCAGCAGGGAAAACTGCACTGATCCACATGTGCACACACTTTCAGGCAGCTCCTTGGCTCCAGAAAGTCTCATCTCCCAGTTTGGGGCTGCCACACCCTTGTTAAATGCCTCCATCCTCCCCATGTTTTCTCTCTCAGGCTAAAAATCCTTAAAATTCACTTTTTTTTTTTAAAGGAAAAAAAAGATACAGTGAGCAAGTACCTTGGGGAACAGGTAAATATTTACATGGGTATTTTTGCAAACCTCCAGCCCTTTCACCCATTTACCAGGGAAAACAGAATCACAGAATCACCAGGTTGGAAGAGACCTTCAAGATCATCGAGTCCAACCCATGCCCTAACACCTCAGCTAAACCCTGGCACCCAGTGCCACATCCAGTCTATTTTTAAACATATCCAAGGATGGTGACTCCACCACCTCCCCAGGCAGGCCAGTCCAGAACTTTATCACTCTTTCAGTGAAAAACTATTTCCTAATATCCAACCTGTATTTCCCTTGATACAGCTTGAGACTGTGTTCTCTCCTTCACAAAACATGACATCCTTGAGCAAAAACCACAGCAAAACCCACTGCAGGCTAAGGACAAAGCTCTTACAACTGAGCCATCACCCAGCCCAGCCATGCAGAGAACACCCAGGGGATGCTGCCCCACTCGATGTTGGGGTAAAACTCACAATTTTCCGCTCATAAAAGGCCCCGCTGCTGTAGGTGGTGGCGAGGGTGGAGGCACATTCCTCCAGGTACCAGGGCTTGTAGCCATTCTCGGTGGTGCTGCTGATGGAGATGGTGTAGATGCTGTTGGTGTAACCGTCACAGGAGCAGTAATCGCCCTCTCTGCCGCCGTTCCCCGACGCCCAGACGAAAATGGACCCCAGTCCCCTGCGACCCTGTGGGCACAGAGGGGATGGAGGGTTAGAGGAGGTGTTTGCTCAGGATGAGAGGTCATCTCAGCACGGGGAGGAGGGGTAAGATGGATTTTTGAGTGTTTGGTTAGGGTGGAAGGATGGGTCCCACCCTGCCCAGCACTCAACCCCCTGTATCAGTCCCCACATGTGTCCCCCTGCTCAGTCAGTCCCTGTTTACAGGCAGTGACTCCCCAAAAACATGGGAGAGCATCCAGCAATAGGATTTTGACATTTTCTGTGAGGCAAAACATCTTGGGTACTCAAAGTCCCTGGACCAAGTGCTAATACACAGCATGGTGCTTTTAGGGATGGCCCTGCAGGAAGAACTGGCAGGGAGCCCCCAAACCCAAACCCCAAATCTTCCATGCCCACAAAGCTCCTCATGAACCACCCAAACCACCAGAAACCTTCTCCCAGCCTATCCTTCAAGGTTTCTTTTGCTTGTCTTTTATTTTTTAGATCCCACCCTTTTCTCCCCTCCCCATCACTTGGCTGGAACATCTGATGGAGCCATCCCCACTGGGTACAGCTGTAGGACCCCACTGGGAATTGGGGGGTGGGAGGGGTGTGCCTGCTGCCCAGACCTCCCTGGAGCCAGGGGAAAATCCCACCTGGCAGCAGCAGCCGTGGTGCCAACGAGGGGCCCCTAAAGAAGTCAACCCCACGGGAACGAGCCTAATTCACCCCTCCATCCAACCACTGCCAGGACACCCAGGAACAACCCAGCCCTGCAGGGGTTCACAGCAAGGTGAACATCCCAAAAAGGAGGATTTTTGGTGAGCCAAAAGGGTTAGGGGCAGGAAATGAAGTGGCTGGTTCTCTTCCGTGCCCCTCAAGGCAGGGCTCTCGAGGAGGAGGGAGCGCTGCCGGGCTTGGCAGGCGAGGGAAGCAGCGGAGCAGCCCCGGCCTCCCCACGGCTGCTCCTGCCACAGAGAGATTTCGGTGCTCGCCTGGGCAGATCACTGTTTACCTCCCTCCCACTGCTCCGTGGCAGCTTCCTCCACAAAAAATAATAATAACAACAATAATAATAATAAAGCAGCTTTGCTCTGGAGGAATTCACTGGGATTTATTGTGGGCTTTAGGCGCCGGGAGGAGCGGGAAGGTTTATTACCTGTCTCACCCCCCTCCTGGGGCAGAGGCTTTCTGAGCTGACCCTGCCTCTGGATAGACAGTCTAAGTCAGGCTCTTTCCTTACTTTATGAAAGTTTTCATTATCTGGGCTGCCTCCCAGCAAAACTGGGTGGGTATTTCCCTAGCAAAGATTAATAGAGCTGTCTGGAGCTCTACAAGAAAAAGTGCAATTGCCAAGGGAATTACTGCCCTGCTCCGCATCACAGAGAGCTCGACCCAGCTTGCCAGCCCACCAAGCCTGCTGCTGGCATCTCCCATCTCACTTTCCAAGGTTTCCTGGATCTCCAAGGAGGCAGCATCCCAGCCCACAAACTCGGCGCAGACAGTGGCCGTCCAGCTCACCCACACCAAAGTCAAAACACCTCCAAGGATGGGTCCCACTGCATGCAACCCAAGCTTTCCCAAATCACTAATCAGAGGAATAAAACCAGACACAATTGGCCAGGCATCTGGAGATGGAGCAATGGTTTTGATTGGGATCACAAGACTGGGAGCCCAGACCTCCCTTTCATCCCTCACCCCGAGCGTCGCGCCCACAGGACCCAAGAAAGGCTCAGACCTGCTCCAAATCCACCTCCCCACGATGCCCAGGCAGGGCTGCACTGGGGGAAAGTGGGTTTGGAGACAGCACGGTCACATAAGGACATGAACAGGCACATAACTGACACTACAACAATGCACAGCTAACACCTGACAGCGTTTCTTGGCAGAGCAAGAGCTCACCACATATTGCAGCTCCTTCAGATTGGAAAAATCCATTCTTTCCCTTTGCTCTCAAACAAGGAACAATCAAGATTTCTATAAGCAGACCCCAAACATCCAGCTTCTTAATTTGCCATCCTCCTAAGACAATGCAATGCCAGTGAGGGGGTCCTGGTTGCTATAAAAGCTGAAACTGGCCATCATTTAAACAAGGGAATCCCTCCCTGGCCAAGCTGGGGCTGATCCAGCTCATCCCAGCAGCTCATGGGTTGGCTGTGGGATGCACAGCATCTCCTGCTTCTGCAGCACTGCAGGGCCTGAGTATTTGCCCAACAGCACTCCATGAATGACCAGGATAAATATCCCCTCGTTAGCTTGGAAACTAATAAAGTGTGGCTGGAGGAACAAGAAACAAGATGATAAATTACCACAGCGCAGTCCTATCGCTAATAGATAAAGGTTATTTTAATGTTTCCATTAAAAACTCAATTTTAAGGATTTATAACTTGGTTACAGCTGTTTGCTTGGGCTAAAGGTGGCAGTTAACTATCTGCTTGCAGCTTTCCTCATTATTTAAGGAGATGGAGTTGGCAATTACGAGTTGTGCATGTGGGATAGTGGGTGCTGCAAACACGGGGTGGCAGTGGGGGGATCATGATGTCCCCTGGGAGGCAAAAACAAGCATCCTAAGGCAGTGAGGCTGTGCTATGCAAGTACCCTGCTGCTGCCCATTTGCTCCTGCATGGAAAAATAAGGTCTAAAAAGCAGCTTGTTCCCCTGTATTTACACGGCGTGAACTCCCCGGCACTTCAATGGATTCCTCGGCAGGCTCACTGCCCCAGCAGGAAATCAAGTAAACAGTGGGAAAAGCACTCCACCCTATTTTTAGATAAGAGGCTGCCCCAACTCCCGGCACACTGCGGGAAGAGGCAGCAGAGGAAGGAGCGGTGGCAGAGGTTGAAGTGGGGGCTTCACAGCCCAGCCTGAGGCTGCTGGCAGTGGAATCCCATCCCTAGTTTCTCTGGAGCACCAGGGAACAGTCACTGTGGGGCCCTGAGCCACTGCAACACCTACCCACAGCACCCACCGAGCTGCCAAACCTTTTTCCTAATGCTTTTAGCCAATATTTGGCATTTTTTTAAAGTACCCACAAAGGAAGGGGACAGGAAGGCTATGGCATCCCCAGCAGGGACTGACAGCTGTCAATTATGTGTGACGTTGGCCAAACAAGGACAACAATCCATTGTCAGATCCTGTGGCAACACCCATGTCCCTCCCCAGCTGTGACACAGCCACTTGTTCTGGGTGGAAAACCAGGGCAATGCTTAACATGACAGAGGCCCCTGGGAAAGGACACCAGGAGCCCAAAGAGCATGGAGGAGAGGGTTGGACATAGTGGGGTTTGGGATGCTGCTGTTTCCATCCACACCAGCATCCAGGGGGACATTTTGGGGTGCAAAATTACCTCCCCAGGAACCGCTTTGGGTTTCTCATCCCAGCAGAGCATCACAACACAACCTGGGGCCTCCCTGCTCTGCCGGGACCGTGCCGAGGGCTCCCACCACCACCAGGCACCTCCCACCGTCACCACCCTCGGCCACCAAATCCACCAGAGCTCTTAGGGACACTGGGGAAACTAGGAAAAATCAGAGGTGATTGGCTCCCCCCGCCCCAGCCCTAGTGCTGGCATTGCCTCGGGGGGCCGAGCTGCCCATCCCCGTGCCAGACCCCGGCCCTTCCCACGGGACAGGAGGAGGAGGGCGAGCGCGTCTGGGCGCTGTGGGATCCACACCTTTTTAATGCCTTGCTCAAAAGCCTGTTTGGCCAATAGACCAGGTCCATCAACTGTCTTCCCATCATCATCTGGCCCCCAGCTCGCGCTGTAAATGTCAATGTAATCGGGTCTGATGCCAAGCGACTTCGCTTCAACAACATCTGTTACATCTCCATCTAACATACGAATGCCTAAAAGCACAAAAACATCAGACATTAGGGCTTCATGGCGTGGATGACAGTGTGAGGATTGCAATCAAAGGGCTTTGTTAGCGGCGGCGGAAACCACACAGCTCAGGCGCGCCTGGAATAGCTGCAGCCCGTGGCCCCGCATGCCAACAAGCCTGGCAGCAGGATGCTGGGGAGCTATGGGGAAAGTTTTCTGTGTTGCTGGCTTCAAGTGATGGAGAAGGGGGTGTTAAAATTCACTTCCCCTCCTCTGCTAGGGAATGGGTGGTAGTAGTGGTACTGCACTCCCCAGTGACAAAATCCCCCCACTAAAATCCTTTTTTCTCCCCTTTTAGTTCCTTAGTTAGCACATTTCTCCACCTGGAAGATTTTGGTGCTTCCTGAACACTCAGGCCCCCCAGCTTCAGGCACATTGGTGGGATGAAGACTTTCCCCTCGAGTGGGGATGACTGTGACTGTTCCCAAACCCCATCACTGCCCAACTGATGCCAGCGGTTCCCTGGAGAGGGGAAAAACCCTAGGAAAACCCAGGCTGTGGTTTGTATGGACAAAATCAGAGCCAGGACCCCAACACATGGTGGGACAAAAATACCACCTGGGATAACTCTCACTTTCAGCTGGGAATGCCAGCAGGTACCAGTCTGCTCACAGGCAGAGCCCACTAGCCATGGTGGGATGGGCTGGGGGATTGCTGCACACCCCCAACCTCTGACTGCTGCAATATGAGAGCACATCCCCCTCTGCTCTCCATCACCCTTTCCCTGCTGGATTTTCTCTCCATACACTGGGTAGAGGGTGCCAGGCACCCCAACAGGCTGCCCAGAAACAGCCCTTGAAGGAAAAGCGATGCTGGAAATCTCAGCATCTTATTTTGTCAGCCAGGGAGAATCTGGTTTATAAAAACGCATTTCCCCTTCCACATGTATTTTGTCTTAAAGCAAACAAATGCAGGCAAGATGTCATTCCAGCTGCAGCTGCGCTCTGGACACCAGTCAACTCAAATATCTCCTTCTGACGCTGTCCCCAACCAGCCAAAACCAAGCTTAGAAATGTAAAATCAGGGAGCAGAGCTGTTCCCAAAAAATTCCACTTTGTCAACAAGAAAACACAAGGAGAAAGGGCGAAGAGCCAAGCCCAGGGTCTGAGCTGCACACGGCAAGGAAAGACAGCTGAGGGATGGGGTTTGTGCTTGCTGTATGTGGCTGTTCTCATCAGCAAGCCCAAAATCAGCCTAAAGTCAACCCAAAGCCAACCCAGAGTCTGCCCAGAGACAGCCACCCACAATGAGAGGGGCTCCCTGGTCAAATAATGGGGAGCAGGAGGGAGCAGGGGTGGCTACTGCAAAATAAATGAGCTTTGTGTCACACAGGGGAGTGACCTCCAAAGCAAGTGTTGGAGGAGAGGGAAGAGGAGGAATGGCAGGAGCCCTTTCCTTGAGCAGTGATGTGTTTTGCCCAGGGCATATGAAAAGCAATGCAAGAGCACTGAAGAGCAGCCAGTAAAATTAGATGGGAGCTCTCAGAGTGTGACAAATAGGCTTCCCCAACAAGTTGTGCTCATTAATCGCTGCTTTATTTGTGTAATCCATCTAAAATCACTCTCGCTGCAGCTATAGCGCATTTTCTTCCATGATCCCAAACTTGATACGGCTCAGACTCTATTTTTCCCCTTTGCCTACTCACGTTGTGGGAAGCCCCCGGCCCCCAGCCCTCTGCCAGGTGTCTTGTCTCACTCAACACCTCCCCAGCACACCCCTGAGGCAAGGCACTCGTTAAAGGCAGCAAATTAAAATGAGACCCAGAGGTCGTCATAAAGTCAACAAGGAACGCTCGTCTCCACAGCTGCTGTAGAGAAAGGAGCATGAAGGGAATGGCCTGATCCTGCAGGATCCAATAAATCCCACCACGAGCATTGCCTTGCTCTGCTGCTGCTTGCTGTGTGCTTGGAGATGGGTTTTTAGAGGCAAGGAGCCTCTAAGAAGCAAGAAGCCATCACACGTGTAGGGGGCACAGGAGATGGGATGGGATGATGTGCCATAGCCCTTACAACCCTACCAGTCCACTCTTCACCCTCCTTGGGGTTATTTCTTCGCTCTGGGGATTTTCCCAGCACAGACAACCACGGGAGGTACTTGGCCAAGAGCAAGATCCCTGTGGACACTGCTCCCATGCAGACACAACCCTAACAAAAGCTGTTTCCTGCACAGCCAGGATGAATAAGCCAAAAGAAGGAATTAAACCCCAAACCCACCGGTGGGCACTTGGGTCCCTGCTACTGATGGTCACTTCTCCTAGCACTGGGGTGGTAGGAGGGGCTGCAGGAAAAGCCCCCTCCTGTTCCAACCATGCCAGGGATGCAGCTGAAGGCTGAAAGAAGCCAGCTCCAGGCATTTGTCCCTGACACAGTTCCACCAGCTATGTAAGGTGGGACACCACACTCCCATCCCCAACTAAGATACTCATCTCCCCAGGGCTGGCCAGAACTGCCCCAGCTCCAACCAGCTCAGCTAATGCAAATGAACTCAGCAATGCTAATTAGCACTAGGATTCAATTTGGTGATAGAGATTCATTTGCTTTCTACACATGTTATTTGAGGGGCTGAGTAGAAAATCCCCCCCTATATGCATCTCTGGCCCCCTACTTTCTTGGTGTTTTTTCCCCCTGAGGGTATTTTTGGGGTTCTCCCCAGGGCCCCTGCTCTGAGCAGCTCCTCAGCATCCCTTGACCCCACAAACGAGCGACATCAGCTCTGAACCTCAGCCAGCACCACTGACCATAGCAAACACAGACACTCCAAGGACAAACACCCCAAGAGCAGTTATGGACTTTTGGGGTGAAAACACCACATCCTCAATCCACATGCACCCTCACAGCAAAGATTCAGCCCAAGCAGAAAGTTTCCACCCTAAATACATGGAGCCAGAGTCCCCTGCATGCCATAGCACCCATCCTCCTCCCCCAACACCCCTGGCGCTCCCTGCAGCCAAGGCACCAAGGAGGAGGCTTTCTCCTGGGGGAGCAGCACCCCACCTCTCCCCCAGGAGCCTGTTGGTGTGCCCATGGTCCCTCAGGGGGATGGTGAAGGGCAGGGGAGCTGTGGAGGCGCCAGGCTCACCTCCGATGCGGGCGTTGTAGGCGATGCCCACGATGCAGTAGGAGTTGTTTGCTGCTGCTGCCACCTCCCCCGCGCAGCGAGTGCCGTGCCTGCAAGGAGAAACTCCCATCAGCTCTGGCCATGGCAAAGGATACCTCCAGCCACACCCCACCCAGCACCCAAAACCAGCCCCAAGGCTGGAGCACAGGAAGAAACTGCCCTTACCCAAAACCCACACCAAGCAGGTGATGGAAACCAATGCTGAAAGCAATTTGCTATTTGCATTTTGCACCTAAATCCAATTTGCTGTTTGCATTTTACACCTTGATGCAACTTCCTCTTTGCATTTTGCACCTAAATGCAATTTCCTCTTTGCATCTCGCACCTCTATGCAGGCTGCTCCTTGCATTCCTATTTCCTTTCCACCTGTAACCATCCCGCTTTAACTGAAGCCCAAAAAATGCATCCAGGCTTTGCCATCTCAGCCACCCATCCTGACTCATGTGGTCCAATCCCCAGCCAGGGCAAGGAACCCCCTGATGCTGGAGGATTAATTAGTAATTAGTGTGGTTGCCACCGGCTGAATTTGCATTAAACACAAGGACTTTGTGAAAAGCCCTTAACACAGCCTCCTCCACAGCACTGAGAATGGCGAAAGGGACCTGGAAGACACCCCAGAGGGGACACTCAGCCTCAGGAACACCCCCAAACCCTTTGCTCCATTACAATTATCATCACATACTTGTTCTCATTGCTGGCATCGTAGCGTGGAGTTGGGTCGTGGTCATTCCCATTAACATCATAGCTTGCAAGAGGGTCCTGAAAATATTAGATTTACCATTAGATTCAATTTACTAGGTGGTTGTGGTGGCCAGTAGCTGCAGTGATGGCCAGTGCAGGCAAGCAGAGCAGAAAATTACATCTTCCCTTTAGTTGCTGTCTCTTTGCTCGGAATAAATAGTTTTAGGCTGCAGTCCTGCATGTTTCCCAGGGGAAATATCCTGCTATCTCAAGAACTGCTCCTCTGAACCCCAAATCCTGCTGGGTTCAGCACTCCCTTCCCTCCCACTGTGACCATGTGAGGTTTGAGCTGGGGCTGAACGGGTTTAAGCAGGTTTTTGGCTCTGCCCTGCTGAGCAGAGGGAGGAGGCTTCTTCCCAGGCAGCTGCAAAGGGAGTTCCCCCAGTCCTCTTTATCTAAAAACCTCATTTCCTTCTTAAAAACATCTCAAGTTAAAAAAAAAACAAAAAACCAAAAAAAACCCAAACCTTTTCCTCTAAATATGCCAATGCACAGACTTCAGCTGTGTTTACACACTGAAATTCTCCATAAATCAATTCATGGTGAGGATCAGCCCCAGTCCATCCTGTCCATCCCCCAGCTCACATAGTTTTGCAGGAGGTCGGGGTGGTTCCTCTCTATGCCGTCATCCAGGATGGTGACCACCACGTTCTTGCCCGTGTAGCCCCTCTGCCAGGCTGCCAGGATGTTCATCTCCGACCTGCACCGACTGTTTTTATCACCGCAGTGCTAAGGGGACAAACACAGCTGCAAAAGGGCTGCAACCCCATTCCAGCCCATCTAAGCAAACAGCCAGGCTGGGAGTCCATTTAATCAACCAGAAAATATATTTACGACCCACCCCCTGCCATATAACTTGCAGATTTGTTATAACTTTACTCCACAGATCAAACCCATCCTGCAGCAGTTAATCCAGGCAATGCTATCTCCCCATTACTCTTTTCCTCTTCCATTGCAAGTACTATGGGCTCCTGGGTTTTGAAGTGTTTGCTTCCTTTCCGCCCTTAATTTTCAATGAATTTCCCTGTCAAATACAGATCGATGAAGCAGGCAGGAGAAAAATTATATTACAAATAGATGGCTGCAGCTCTGGGATGGGTAAAATACAGCAGTGCTGCTCCCAAGCCTTTGCTGTGCAGACCATGAAGAGGGGCTGCTAACAAGGGTGAAACACTTCAAACCAGACTCTCAGGTGTACCAACTCACAATTTTAAAATCCTGCTGCCAAGCACATTTGATGCTATTATTTCATTACTGGCTGGGCTGAGCAAAGATTGATGATGCATTTACTTAGAAATAAATGACCCCCCATAAAGCAGAGACAGGGAGACACCCACCAGGTACCACATGTTGGGCCACACTGGGTCGTTGAAGGGCAGGGCGTGTGGCTCCCCTCGGACCTGCCTCTTCACCCTCCTCTTCACCTCCTGCTGCTGCAGCCAGTCCACCTGCAAGCAGAGACCTGGGTCAGCATCACCCACGGGCACTGAGCCTGGCACTGCCCACTGAAATGGGAAGTGGGATGCAGAAACAATGCCAGCCTCAGCCTGAACCCATCCCCAGCATCGCCCCATGCCCTGGCAAACCCCCATCTCCGTGGCCAGAGCTGCTGTGGAGACAGCAGCTCCATTTGGAAGGAGACAGGATGGATGGACAGACAGACAGGGTGAGCTCAGCTCATTGTGCTGTCTAAGCCAGAGCAGATTCCTCTGCTGCTGCAGCAGAACCCTGGAGCACAAATAACGTCGCCTGCGAGCGCGTGCCTGAACCCCCCCGGCTCAGGGAAGCACAGAAGCACGCGCTGGAGTCCCGCTGGAGACAGACCACATATTTCAGTGTTTAGTCAAAGTTTTGGAGAAGACTCAGGTTCTTGGCTTAGACTTTGGGCTGATCCTTCCTGCTGGCTGGGAGGCAGCAGCTCAGCCCTGAGGCTGTTCCACCTGGCTCTGGGGCTGCTCATCCTTCGAGCTCCTTCCTCTGGATAAAATAATAAAAACTGGGGGCTTTACCCGAGCACAACATGCATTTCCCAAAAATATGGGATGGCCACACACAGCTGTGGCAGATCTCAGGGGACGTGGCCAGCTCCACTAAAGTATTTTTGGCAGCGGTTGCATGTGAGGTGGCCTTGGAGCCGACCACTCTGACATTTGTTTGCGTTCCAGCGGGGCATGACACGCAGAGATCAAACGGGAAATGATCTGGAAAAGGCCATGATTGGGAAATGCTGGTGTTTGCCCACGGCCCTGCAGCAGGAGCTGCCTGAGGTGCTGCTTTGGAAGCAGTCACATCCCATCCCTATCAAACATTAACCACCCCCCAGACCCCTTATTGCCACACAAAGGGCTTTCCTGCCTTCAGCATGCAGGTGAAACACGAGTTTAGTGAAAAAAGGTTGTAAAAGTAATTTATAGACCAAATCTTTACAGATGTTCATGCTGGGGGAGAAAGGAGGCACGGGCCAATGGACTGTGAGGGCTGTGTGGCACATCCCTCCTTGCTGGACACTTTCTTCCTGATGGCTCTGGGTGTTTTGGGAGCTGCTTATGGGGATGTCTCTATTGTTGTGACTAAGGTTTTGTAACAAAAGGAATAAAAACACAAGGTGCAACTTCTGTTGAGTTAATTTATGTAAAACTGTCAGCTGAACTGAGTTCTTGCACAGTTTATTGCTTTGTGCCTCAGATGGAGGTGGATGTCAGAAACCCGACAGCTTCCAGCCTACAGCTTGGGTTTTAAACACATATATATTATTTAAAAAAAAGCACTGTTGAAAGGGAAAAAAAATGTATTTCATAGAAAAATGATTTTCCACGGTGCCTTGGCTGCCGAAAGTGCACCACTTTGCTTACACAGTGATGGATTTAAACACTGGAAGCAAAAATATAACTTCATGGTCTAGTTAAAAAAAAATAAAAATACATTAAATAGAGGTGATGGCCCAAATAACAGGCTTTTTTTCCTTAAAGCACCACTCCCTGGCAGCATTTCCATGAGTCTGGCTGCCCAAGCCACAGCTACCACCTTTCCCTGCTGCTTTGCAGGATGCAGGGATGATGGTAAAGTGTGGGATTTTGGAGGTTTTGCCAGGAGCTGCCTCACAGGGATGTCTTCATCTCCAACAGGCTCCTGATCGACCCCAGCGCTGCCAGCCAGCAGTCGATGGAGTCATCGTGTGTGGACACAGAGAAATCAGCAGTTTAAGGACATTGATTTCAAGGAAGAGTTGATAAATCAATGTGGCTGGCATGGGAAAATTGGCAAGCAGGAAGGAGTTTGGGCATCCCTGCAACAGCTCCTGCAGATCATGAAGCTCAGATCAACTGATCCAGGGTGGGGAAAAGCCTCTTGGAAATGTAAAATAAAGGGGAAGAAAGATTTTTTACTAAGAGAACGGCTCAAACTGTTATAGTCCTGAGGCCCAGGGTCCCAGTTCTACCCTTGCAAACCCTAATGATTGCAGAATCACAGAATGGTTTGGGTTTGGGGGGACCTTAAAGCTGATGTCACTCCAAATCTTCTGCCATGGGCAAGGACACGTTCCACCAGACCAGGTTGCTCCCATCCAACCTAGCCTTGAGCACGTCCAGGGATAGGGCAGGCACAACTTTTCTGGGTAACCTGTGCCAGGGCCTCACGACCTTTGCAGCCAAGAGATCTTCCCCTGCCCTGTCAGTGTGAAGCCATTCTCCCCTGTCCTGACACTGCAGACCCTCATCCAAAGTCCCTGTCCAGCTCTCCTGGAGCTCCTTTAGGTACTGGCAGCAATTAGCAATAAGGAGGTGACTGTGAGTGGCACCAAAAAACCCCATGAGGAGGCTGTGCACAGGCAGCCCCAAACTGGACCCTACACCCTTGCTGGAAACAAGCTTTTTATGTTTCCCCTCACTTTGAGATTTTCAGTGGATGAGGCCCAGGTCTGGCCAGCCTGGGAGGCTCCACCAAGCACAATAACCAGCACATGTGAGGGTGCAATTCCCTTTGCAGCTCCAGAAAAGTGATAGTCTAACTTATCCCAGTGGTTATGTAGGGGTTAAAGTGGAGATCCAGGATAAACAAAATGGTTCCAGCACATGTTTGCCATAAAACACAGTAAATAATTCAGATGGGGTTGATTTTGCCCTGGTGCGTGGCCAAAGGCACAGGGACCAAGGCCATGGCATCCTCTGATGAGGATTAAGAGACTGGAGCCGTGAGGATGGAGGCTCAAGCACTGCATGGACCAACATGAGCATTCCACTGAGCAAAGAAAGTTTATGGCAGCAAACACGAGCAAGGGAAGTTTATGGCAGTAAGAGCTGCAAGTGGAACCCTAAGAGGAGTGGCACAGCATGGTGTGACCCCACTCTGCATTCCACTGTCCCTCCCCAGCTCCCACCACCATAACCTATCCACAGAATTGATGGATTTGCCACATCCTTCCTCCCTGTCCCTCACTTGCCACATCTCTTGGCCGGTATCAGCCCCAGCAGGAGCAGCCAGCTGCCCCAAGGGTCTCTTGGGAGACAGCTCAGCAGCAGCATGGTCACACAAGGACCAGGACCCTCTCTGCTTCCCCGTGTGTCCTGGAGTCTCCCCTTTCCCAGATTTCTCCTGGGGGTGGAGAGCGTGGCCGTGGTCCTCCTGCCCAGCTCATGCCACCGAACCCCGCAGCAAACAAATAACAGCGCTGGAAACAATAGCCCCCAGAAGGCACGAACCACCCAACATCTGCAAGCAACTGGATTGGCTGGTTCCTCAGGATTTCTGCAAGATTTGTTTCCATTTTCCCTATTCCAGCTCCTGTCCTCTGCCTCGAGGTGATGTTTTCCTGCATGCATGCTAAGCTGGGGCCATCCAAATGCATCACTTAAACGATTTGTAAATGTACATAGAAGAGGAGGAGAGAAAGACGTGCCAACAGGTTTTGAACTGATAAGGAAGGATTAAGAGAACAGGAGTTAATTGCTCCAGCTTGGAGCCCACAGAGCAAGGTAAGGTAAAGGTTAATATGACTAAAAGCCAATTGATTTAGTTTGCATTATAACCAGACTCTTTTAAATGGGGGTATTTCAAATGCAGAGAATTCTGTTTGCTGGGATGCCCGTGCACCCCCTGAGGGCAAACAGCTTTAATTAAAGCCCAGCACACTTCCAGGGCACCAGGCTCCCCTTGACGAGGTTTCCCCCGCTGGCAAGGCAGCCACAAGAACGCCTCCTCCTCAAAAATGTGCTACAGACCTTGTCCAAATATTTAACAGCAAATCTCTCCAGAAAGCCTGGGGAGGGCAGGGCTGCTGTGTGTGTCGGGGAGATGTGGATGGGACTGTGGTGCAGAGTGGGCTGAAGATGTCTTGGGAAGGAGCATCCCAAGTGTGTCTGAGCACCCCAAGGATGGCCAGGCATCCCTGCAGGCACCAGCAGCTTGCTACCTTCACCAAAATGGCTTTTTCTGCTTTTATGTCCCCCTCTCCCAAAAAAACCTTCCCACCATTAACCCTTCCCCTGCCCTGCACAAGTCACATCTCACAGTGCTCAGGGGGAGCTGGGGGAGGAGGACAGCCAAAGGAGAGCCCCAACCCTTCCCGACTACCCCAAACCCAGCTCACCCAGGTCCCTCCTTGCCTTCTTCTCCCCCTTCCCATTACTTCTGTCAATTCAGCTGCACTGAAAATCCCTTTGGATGCTTGCTCTAGGAAAAAAGCAATGCAGAGCTATTGCCAAGGATTTCACACATAGCAACCATTGAGGCAGCAAATGTTGTGGCAACTGGATCAACACCCCAAGCATGCAACAGCCTTTCTGTCCTGGAAAGCTTTTCCCCCTTTTCTTCCTGCCGGCTTTCAGGCAGATGTTAGTGTTTAGTCACTTTTACGTATTTTTCACCACCGCTCTCTGTGCCCGTGTCCAATGAGTCACTCGTGTGTGTGCAGGGCTGTGGCTCCAGGGTAACATGGCATCCTGAGATGCTGCAGCTCACTCTTGACCCAGATCAAGCCAACAGCCTTCTCCAGGGACAGGTGGGAACCCCCATCCCACCACCCCACAGGGGCTGGGGGACACCAGGGTGCCCAGCCCCGTACCTTGGGGTCCATGCGGAGGAAGTTGTGTGGTCCCCGGCTGCTCAGCGTGGAGCGCTTAAACGTCTTGCTGTGGTGAAAGTGGTAGTAGTTTTCCAAGCTTCCAATCTGAAAAATAAAAAAAAATAGAAGTTGTTTGGGTTGGTTTTTTTTTAAATCTGTTTCCCCCTCCCCATTTTGTACTGGCTATGCCCTGCACCCCAAATCCCTCACTCCCACAGAGCTGGGGCTGGGGAGGATGCAGGATGCTGGCACGAGCCCCGGTGCCACCGCTGTGACAAACAGCATTGGTGGTCAGACGCTGCAGTGGCACAACAGAGCCCGGAAAACATTTTTATGAATTTTCACCCATTAAATGTATCTTTGAAAACTGTCTTTCATCAGCTCCCAAGCAGAAATAATGAGCTAAAAATGAGCTCAGCAGCTGTGGCGCAGCCAGGGGAGCTGTGCCTCATCCTCCTGCCTTCTCCGCCCGATGCTTCGCCCCGGCTGTGCATAAGGAGAGGTGATGCTACCCCTGCTCGCCCTGGATGCTCCTGGGAAGCGTGGGATACAAATGTGCATTGCCTGGAGTGAGGGATGGCAGCATTTGCAGGAAAACACGGTGCCAGCCACACCACCCTGCCAAGCCCCGGGGTGGCTGTGCTGCCTCCTGCCTCCGGCCCTCTCATCCTGGCATCTGGAGACACCACAACTCCTCTTTTTTCATCCCAAAAGCACGGATAGGATAAAGTCCTGGGGCTACACAATGAATCGAGGGATCTCAGCCAGACACCGCATGTGAAACATCCCACGGGGATTCACAGCCAGAGGGATGGGAATGACCCAAAAGCTGCACTCACTGGTATGTGGCTCCTAGATCACATAATTTGGGTACAAATTGGGACTTTGCTATAAATTCACTTTTGCCTGAGTTTGGTTTGTTGGGTTTTTTTTTTCTACCCCACCAAAAAACCCCACATTCCATGTCAGGACCTGGATGGTGGGAGCTGGTGGCATTCCCTGTGTCTTGCTCAGGGACCAGAAAGGGCCATCCTACAAGCACCATCTCCAGCCCATGAGGAAACGTCTTTAAGACCCTGTGTGACCCAGGGGCCAGGGTGACATTCCTGAGCCAGACCAGGCTGGTTGCAATGGAACAGTGGGAACAAACAGGTTTGTCTGGATCAGATGCTAAAGCAGATGACAACTACTTACATCTCTATCACACTTGATACCTTGAGATCTGCCAGTGTCTCTTATAAGCATTAAATATTCAATTAGTCTTGCTCTGCCTTTTATGCCAGGATGTCATTTCACCAACTTTACTGCTGTTAGTGTGATTTTTATAATTTATTTCCACTCAAATTAATTTAAACCCTCCCTCTTCCCCCTTCACATTACAGCACAACTGGGCATTTTCTTTAACATCCACATAAAGAGGTTGCTCATTGCAATCTGCATTTGCCTCTTAAACCCATTCTTCAAATCAATTTTCACTTAAAAAAAGAGAAGGAGGGTGCTTCAACCTCTCCATATTTTAGGGAAATATTGACAAGGCCACTCTTCATCTTGTTCACTCTGCCTGGAAATCAGAGTATAGAGCTTGCCATAAAATCCTGCAATGGTTTGGGTTGGAAGGGATCTTAAAGACATCCAGTTCCAACCCCCTGCCATAAGCAGGGCCACCTTCCACTAGACCAGCTTGCTCCAAACTTCATCCAGCCTGGCCTGAAAGAGGGATGGGGCATCCACATCTTCTCTGGGCAACCTGTGCCAGTGTCCCACCATGCCCACAGTAAACAATTCCTTCCTAAGTAAATGTCTTCCTTCCTTTTCACAAATAAATGCAAAATTACGACACAATGCAAAGCAGCAAAAGCACAGGGAAGGTAATGATCTGATCACAGGCTCTGGGGATACATAGCCAGAGCAGCAGGAAAAGAACTCTGTGCCCCATTTCTTTATCCTCCTGGGTTTTATGGGCAGAAAAATATGAAAAACCTTCCCATGCTGGGAATACCTTGAAAGTCTGAGCGGAGGTTGGTCCCACTGGACCAGCATGGTAGACCTCCAAATATCCTGTTCCACCTAAGACAGTCTAAGGAGAAAAACTTGTAAATGCCAGTTTTATTTAAATGAAAAATGATTTGTTGTCCTCCTCGTGTTCAGTCAGCTCAGTAAGGGCTCTGCAATGCAACTCCATCTCACCCAAACAATTTAATCTGTGCAAAGTACAGCTACACTAGCACTGGTGCCTTCCAGAAGGGTGGATCCAACCGGGAAGACAGTGAGCACTCCCCTCCCGGGGACACCACCCATTCCCGTCAGGGAAAAGGGGTCCAGCCGCTGACCTCCTGCCTTCAGGAATGTAATTCTCAAATGATCACGGATGTGTTCAGCTCAGGAAGGATCAAGCCAAGAGCTGTGTGATGACAGGAATCCAGGAAAGCTCCAAATACAGCCCAAAATTAATCCCGTCCCTCTCCTGCACTGCAGGTGAGACCACTGAGGATGTTCCAGCCCTTCCAAAACTTAGTGTTGGACACCACAGATGGAAAAATGAATACAAACCCTGTAACCAGGATGGGAAGGGGGTCACCATCACCTCCGAACCAGCGGCGCTGCCCGGGGCTCCGGCACCAGGGCCTGTCCCGGCTCGCCCCGGCACGGCCGGGGAACAAAGCCCGGCGGGGAGGAATGGGGAGGAATGAGCAGGCGTTCGAGGGTGTAAAAGCCGTTTCTTTTGTTTAGCTGTTTGCTTCACTTAAATGGAAGTTGACGCAAGTGATTCCCCAAGGGAAATGTCACTCTGCCATGACCCAGAAGGGTTTAGAGTGTCCTGGCTCGTGGTTTGGGCACAGGAAAATGCAGGGAGAGCTCAGAGCTGTGTGTGCCAACCCCAGCAGTGCCTTTCCCGGCAGAATCGTGTCAGGAGCCTTCAGGATCGCATCACAGAGGAGAAGATGTCACTAGCCACCAAGGCAGGGCAGCACTCAGCTGGATCTTCCAGCGATCATCACCTCTCCTCCTCCCTCACCACTTTGGACTTCACTCGAACATCTTCCAGGGTGATAACATCCTTGGCAGAGTTTTCCAGCAGGTTTGTTCCAGAATCGGGCCCCCCAGGAGGGCACATCTCACTGGGGACAGTGCCATCACCAGCAGCTCCACAAGCTGATGATGCAGGAGGAGAAGAGTGGGACAGCCAGGTCCCCACAAGGCTCAGCATACCATGAACCTTGAGCACAACACTGCAAATGTCACACATGAGCACACGTGCAGGGAAAGCAGTCCCTCAAGGTTTAACCCTGGACAGGACCCAGTGGAAAGAGCCCAAAACCCAGTGGGAAAAGCTTGGAGAGATGGAGGGCTGAAGGCAGGGTGTTGAGAGCAGCTGGGGAAGCCTCAGAGGTGTGGGAGCCAGGAACACCCTGATGCAACCACAGAAATATTTCTCTTGCTCTCCAACCTGCACAGGGCTGCCCTGAGGAAAGGGCTCAGGGGGGAAGGATGGATGCTCCAGTGGAGCCACACTGCACCCATGGGCCAAATGCCTCCAGCATCATAGGGATGAGCTCACATAACCCGGATGCTGGGAAGGAGGGAGGGGTAACAGATGCTCCTGCAGGGAAGGGACACAGCAAAACCCCAAACCAGGAGCTGACGTTAGGCTGATGCAACTTGGGAGAGTGGGAAGTTCAATCAAGATATTCTCTGTCTGAAGAGGGATAAACACTGAAAAGCCCTTTGGGTTGCACAACCACCTTCGCCCAGCCCTCAGAGAGACGCAATTGAACAATACATGTGATTTTCTCCTTGGTGGGATGGGAGCTGAGCATGTAGGTAGGAGCGTGAGGGTGCGATGTGAGGGGTTATCCCCCACGGGAGCTCACAGACACGGGTGCAGGAGACAATGTGCTCAATTCAGCCTCCCCCCAAAAAAATTGTTTATGCAGCACCCCGTGACTTTAATTATAGTTAAAAGCAGGGTTGCGATATAAAGCAAGGTTATAATTTGTAGTCCGGGAGACACCTTAGGCAGGAGGACAACCTGAAGTGTCACCCAGCCAAAAAAGCGCCGGGCAGAGCCATGGCAATAAACTCCGGAACAAAATCCGAGGACACCAGCCTGCATCTGGGATTGCAGAGGATGAATAAATTGAAAGGAAAACGAGCTGCTGTGCGGAAAATTTCATTTAGACACCAGCGTTCTGCGGGGGTTTGAAAGCAAAAGTTCTCTGTGTTCCCAAGATCTCCGATAAAAACCCTGGCCAGAGAGTCCAAAGTTTGTTAAACCCACAAATACAACTTTCCGGGGTGGGAGGAACTTGTGCAACCCCCCCAGCGGTGCGGGGCGAGGGCACCCCGAGGAGAGGCATCCACCAGGGGGGAGCCCGCCCCCGGGCCAGAGCGCTCCGGCAGCATCCCCGCATCGGCCCCGTTCTCATCCCGACCGCCCCGGGGGGCTCATCTCCCGCTCCCGGGACCTCCGGCATCACCTCGGTCCCGGCAGACCGGGTAGCTCGGCGAGACCTCCGCCAGCAGAGAGATCTCGGGGTCCATCTCCCGCTCCTGGGATCCTGCTCCGGTCCCGGGAATGCTGGCAGTTCCACGGGATCCCCGCCTCCTCCCCGTTCCCGGGACCATCGCCGGTTTCCCGGTACCGGTAGTCCCAGCGCAACACGCCGGGCAGCTCCCCGCCACCGAGCTCCCCACTCCGGGGATCTGCCGCAGGCTCCCAGTGCCGGAATCCCCGGCAGTTTCCCGAGACCGCTCCGCCTTTCTGATCCCGGGACCCTCGGCAGCTTCCCAGAACCCTCGGCTCCTCTCCGTTCGCGGGACCCCTGGCGTGAGACCCCCGGCAGCTCCCCGATCCCCCACAGGCTCACGGTGCCACAACCACGGGCAGATTCCCGGTGCACCCGGCGGTCCCCAGTGCGACCCCCCCAGCCCCGCATCCCCCGCTGCCGGTGCCCAGCACCTGCCCGCTCCCGGAGCCCGCCGGCCCCGCCGCCCCTTACCTGCCCCAGGCTGATGTACCCGTAGGCGGCGGCGAGGCGGGCGGCCTCGGCGGGGCCCCCCCGCACCCGCACGGCCCAGTGGTTGGTGTAGACGGTGCGGGCGGGCTCGGCGGCGGCTCCGCGCCCGGGCAGCGCCAGCGGCAGCGCCAGGGCCAGCAGGCAGAGGCGGGCGGGCGGCGGGGCGGCCGCGCTCCCCGCGCCGGGGCCGGCGGCGGGCATGGTGCGGGGCCGGGCCGGGCTGGGCGGAGCGGGGCGCTGCGCCTTTTAACCGGCCCCGCAGCCCGCGGGGGCGGGGGGATGCTCGGGGGGAGGCGGGGAGGGCCCGGGAGAGCGGGCGGACGGGGCGGCCCCCGGCACTGCCCCCCCGCCTGCCGCCGCCTGCCGCCGGGCAGCCCCGCTGCGTGCCCGGCGCTGCTCCCCGGAAACCCCCCCGGACACCCCTGGAGCCCCCCTGCCCGAGTCCAGGCAGCTCCCCGGACCTCTCTCCGTGCGTGGCTCCGTGACCTTTCCCCGCGTATCTCCGGACAACTCCCTGTGCCCCACAGCATTCCCCCTACGCGTCCCGGTGCTGGTCTCCGAACAGACCCCCTCGGTCCCCCCGCGTGTCGCGGTGCTGTTCCGCGGAGCCCCCACTGCCTCCCCGTGCGTGTGACCGGACAGCCCCCTGTCCCCGCTGCATCCTCCCCTGCGCGCCCCGGTGCTGCTCCGTGAACAACCACCTGCATCCCCCCGCATCCGCCCGCATCTCGCTGCATGCCCCAGCATCGCCCTCCGGGTTTCGCCCTGCGCCCCACTTCATCGCCCTTTGTGCTGCCGATTCCCGGGGCACCTCCCCTCCTTCCCCCGTAGACAGCCCCCACGCATCCTCCCAGCTCTGCTCCTCAGGTAACACATGGCACCCTTCAGAGAGAGCCCCCGCATCGCCCCCGCATCCCCCTGCATGCCCCGGCACTGCATCTTCTTTTGTGCATCTGCATTCCCCCCGGGCAGCCCTCATGCATCCTCCCAGATCTGCTCTGCAGGCACCCCCTGAACCCCGCGAAGAGACTCCCCACGTAGCCCCTGCATCCCCCTGGGCAGCCAGTCTGAGCCCCCCTCCCCCTCTGTCTCCCTGGAATGCGTTGGCACTGCCCACATCTCCCCGATCCCGTTCTCCTTGCATCCCCCCAGGCATCTCCCTCATCCTCACCCCTCTGTACTACCCCCACAGGCACATCCTACTGCACCTCCCCCCTGCATCCCTCCAGCACTGCCCCCACACCCCTGGCATCCCCCCTGCACCCCCAGGCGAACCCCAGAGAGCTCCTCCTGGGCTTGGGAAAGGCCAGGAGGAACTGGCTGGTGGGGAGGATTTTGGGACAGGAGGCAGGATAAACCTGGCCGTGGACACCTGAGGGGCAGCACCATAATCCACGAGCTGGGGCAGATGCCTGGAGTGCTGACTCTGCCTCCCAGGGATGCCATTCAGGGAACAGCAGGGACCTCGGGGGGTATTAGAAACTGGGCTTTGTTTGGGGAAGGTGGTGGCGCATACAAAGGCCGGCCTCAGGAGCAGCCCGGGGATGCTCCCCACAGCCAGTGCGGGCCCAGGCCGGCAGGGAGCTGATGACTGCCCAAAATGAAACGAAATGAAACCAGTGGCATTGCATTCACTCACACCACAGCTTCACCTGAATCATATCTGAGCTTCAGAAATGTACCCGGAGCTCTCAGGGCCCTGACAATAGCAGCTGCATCCACAGCTCTAGCTGGGATGGCCTCAGGGTGGCTGTGATTCCCGGAGTGGGTATTTTCTGTTTTCCAGACCCTGACCAGATTTGAACGGCATTTGGGCCACAAGCCCCACATCCCATCTCTCTGAATGCAAACACCTTCCCGAGCCCCAAACAGATTTGCAAAACCTACCTGGATGTGTAAGGATGAGGGGGCATCCAAGGAGAAGTAAGTACAACCCATCACTGGAGCTGAAGAGGAAAATCACAGTCTGGTGCCACCCACTCATACCAGCCCTGCCACTGGGCAGGTGAGCTAGTGACAGCCTGAGGAAATAGGGAAGTACTCCCAGCTTAACAATGGGATTAATGCAAGGGAAATTTATAGGGAGCCTGTTCAGATAGGGCCAAAATCCTCTGGCAGCTCCTGTGCTGGGCTGGCTTTGACCCATTTGCAGGCAGCAAATACATGGAGGGGGCAGATGGAGGTGAGTCCCTGTGCCACAGACAGGCTTATCCCAGGAAATTACAAATATCAGCAAAATGGGGATTTGGAGGGTTTCTATGTGCAAACAGTGTTGTGCTGGCATTAGAGATGTGACAATTTGCTGCCACAGTTTGCAGGCACTGGGGAGTTTGGTGACTTTCACCATAAGATGTTATTCACTGAAATCACTGTGGGTTATCACTGCAGGGACACTGGAGCCTCCAGGACTCATCACCCCACATGTCCTCACAGGGCTGCTCTGTAAGCACCCTGGGCAGAAATGATGGGTTGTGTGTGACCATTCCTTCTGATTATGCAGTGAAGAATGGTTTCCATTAGCACCAACACATTGCAAATCCAATCCTCACTTCCCATCTGGTTTATGGGCTTTTCCTCAAGTTTCCCATTGATTAAGGTGTGTGAGATGGATGAGCAGGGCTGGCGGGTGCTGGGTGTGCTACGTGTGTGATGCACATCCAGAGAGATGCAGCAGGGCAGAACCAGAGGGGAGGTGAGACTAGATGAAAGAAAACCCTTCGGTTTGAAAACATCCACCTCCCTCTGCTGGGGAAGGTTTGAGGAATGGCGGCAGAGGATGCAAAGTAGGGGCAAAGTATCTCCACAGGGAGCAGAGAAGGGCAAATGAGCTCTGGCAGAAGCAGGGAGGTTTTAGGTTATGGCAGTGGGAAAAGCTTTCTGAAGATATTCAGAAGAAAGTGACGATAGGAAAGAGATTGCCTTTGTGAGGGTGTGTGTGCAAAACCTCATTGTGTCTGTGCTAGGTGATAAAAAATGGGCAAATCCCAGGAGAATCGGCTGAATCCATGTTTGGGATTGCTCTGCATCCCACTGCAATGCTCAACAGTGATCATCATGGCCATCAAAACCTAGCTACGAGCCACATCACACACCTTCCATCCCAAGGCCATTCACCAAGACTCCTGATGTATCTGCCTAGGGAATAGTTACTGGTACCAGTAAAACCCTGTGCCCTGCTGAGCCTGCAGTATCATGCGAGCTGGGTAAGGTCCTTGCCCAAATGCTGACTGCAATGTTGGGACCCAGGTTTTGTGCTCCCTGATCCCTGCACTGCTCCTGACCTGTCTCCCACTGACATAATTTTGAAATTCAGGGTGGCAATTTTCCCAGATGTACCCAAGGGATTTACCAGGGGTGTCAGGAAAGACAGACTTTGGCCCCACACGCTTTGCAGTGGATGTAGACTAAGGCAGAGGTTCCAGTTAACTCTTTTTTTGGGATTATTTGAAAACCTGGGGAATTACACTGAGCCACCAACAATACAATAAATTTTGTGAGCTAAGAAGTTAAACAGAAGCTGCTGCAAAGGAAGCATGGAAAGAGGCACCGCTGAACCAGTAACATTTAAACTCTCCTGAATAAAATTCATAATAACCCTGGCATTTTATATCTGTCCATGAATTACAGTTAAAATCCCACCACGTCCCACACACGCTCATTGCTCTGTACGGCAATAAGATTACAGCGAAGAGCTGGACGAGCAGGGAAGAATGTAATTTAAATGCTGCTCCTTTGAAAACCAAGCCCTTCTTTTTAAGGCACGCTCAGAAAAGGAAAGTATAAATAATGCACCCAGAAGGTACTATTTTTTCCAGGGTGGGATGACAGGGCTGGCACTGAGCTGCCTGCCCTGGGCAGCCAGGATTGTCACCCTGTTCCTGCCTGTGGAGGAGGGACAGGGCAGTGGGAGCTGTGCCTCTGCCTGCTGCAGTGCAAGGAGTTAAACAAACAAAAGCCGTTTTGCAAACACCCCCGGTTCAGAGGTGTCCCTGGGATGCCAGAACAGGGAAACCGCTTGGCTTGGAGCCATCAGCCAGCCTTGCTGGCCGGAGCTGCCCGGTGAAACCCCCAGCCACAGGAGCCGGGGTTTTATCCTATGCATGACGAGAGCCTGTCGACATGGAGATTACAGCACAAATCAGGTTAAAACCCATTTATCTGACCCAAGCAGAGCCCGTGTGCTGGGATGTGCAGGGGTGTGAGCGGGGCCATCCCCGTACCGATGGCTGCGAACTTGTCCCAGTCTGACAAACCCCGTCCATGCAGCTGTGCACGGTGGGTAATCCAGAGCATGCAATAATTACACCAGCACACCTGGAAATAGCTCTTTCTGTAGCTCCCAGGCTTAACCAAATGAATGAAATTTGCGCTGGCGTAATTAAAGCGATGCGGTTCAGGATCTTGTCTGCAGCGGGGAGTTACTGCAGCTTGACTCTTCGCTCCCCAGTGACGGCCACGTGGAAGAACCCCCAGCTCCAGCCCCTGACACAGCTCCAGTGCTGACTTCTCACCATCGGGGTGCCCATTAACACCAGCCCATTAACACCAGTTCATTAACACCAGCCTTCAAACCTGTCCGGCAGCACAATGCCTCCAGCGTCCTCCGGCAGCTGCCCCGGCTCCAGCACACAGCAGCGATGGCAAAACACTCTGGGCTCTCGGCTGCACTCCCGGCTCCCCTCCAAGGACTTGTAAATCTGCAGGAGAAATCAGTTATCTTCCATTTTAACTCTGTTAAACCACAACACATTTATATTCACTCATCTCAAACAATCTCTTTTTTTTTTTTTTTTTTTTTTAACCTCTGCTTGCCCTTTTAGGTGTTAAAATAACCCCAGACTCACTAGTGGCCAGATGGTTTTGGGGATATTAATGGCAAAATCCTACACACAAGTGAGCTGCCAGTGAAACTTGCCAGTGAAAAATAAGATTTGGAGCCTCCGTGGAGCTTCATCCCCACGGCTGATGTGTCACAGCAGCACTCGGGCTCTGGCAATGGCACCGGTGCTGTCAGTGTGCAGCAGCCACCAGCTTTGCAGCTGGGAAAGCCCTGGGTGAATTCCCAGGAGATTCATGCTCACTGGAAAAATCCTGTCCCTGCCTTTTTCCTTCCATTTCTAAATCTGGATTATGCTTTCAGTCTGAAGAGGTGACATCAAATGTGGCAGAGAGGAAGGAGGGGATGAGGTGGAGCAAGGCCCAAGGAGGTGTGGACAAGTGGCTGCTCTGTGTTGGTGCCCAGCCCTGGTCACAACATTGCAGGTACAGGGAAATTAATTTCCAAATTAATTAATTTCTTGAAACACCCATTTTATAAATCTCTGACCAGTGAGAAATGGGGAAACTTACAGGGGAAAAAGCACTCTGGCCAAGGTAGAAGAGCTCAGAAGCACAGGGATCACCAAGGAGCATGTGCCAATGGTTTTCTGCCAACCAGCACCTCTTTCAAGCACTGAAGGCAGCAGCCAAAGGGATTTAAATTGGGGATTAGAGAGGCTGCCTGGCTGCAGTGATACACTCAGGGTACAGAGCACCCCCAGTGCCAGAGGTTTTAGCTGTAATTAGACCAACATCTGTCCAGCAATGGTTGAGGTTTGCGCAGTCGCTGTGTTGCTCCAGGCTGGGCTGGAGATTTCCCACAGGCTCCTCCTGCTCGGCTTTTCTGCAATTTCACAGATATCAGAATTTTTTTTCCATCTGATGAGTTCTTCCTCTCCAGAAAGATTAAATCTTGATTGTCAGGTACTGCTGTAGCAGGCAAGAAGATTTCCCTGACTAGTTCAAATGTCATCCTAGTAAAAATGCTAGTAATAAAAAATAAAAGAGAAAGGGCCCATTACGGACTCAGGCCTGAAAAAATATCCAAAAGATGGACCCTGAAGTTAAGAAACAATTGAAGCTTGGTGGCTGAAGGGTGCTCTAGGGACTGCTGGGCCCAGCGCACACATTCATAGGGTGGGGAAATAAATCAAAGATAATTGACTGTGTACTGGTCTTGAACTAAAAGGGAACAAACCCAAGCCTTTTCACCCATCTCAAATACATTTGGAGTTTATTGTTATTTTGGAAATTAGGGCATGGAAGGAAATGCCCAAGCAAGAGGTGGTAGAATGGGGAGATGCTCCACCTGGAGAGGGTGCTGGGGCAGGGACTGGACCACGGGATGTGGCACCTAACCCACTTATGAAATAGGAATCTTTCCACCTCTCCTGGTTGTTCCCACCATCCCACTTTATCTGAGAGCACTGCACCAGGGAGAAGCATTGGAGTCAAGAGGGTGCTGGTAATAAACTGAGCCAACCCAACCCCACCCCTGGAAGAGCAGGTCTTGGAAAAGCCGGTTACACCAGTGCCACGTGGGGACGTGTTGTCACCATGCAGGGGGGGCTATTTCAGGCTCCCCCAAAGGAAGCAGCTGTTGCTGTTGGAATGATAGCTCCAGGGCTGGATTTGGGATCAAAAGTTGAACTCCTAGAAGGGGTTGGGGGTCACCAGGAAGGGACACTGCTGTCTGCTCTCTATGGCGGCTTTGTCAGATCAAACACAACTTTTCTATTTCACCCCCAGGTGGGGTGATGTACCAAGGACTTGGCTGTGACTGGCATAGGATGAGCCTCCCCACTGCATTTTCACTTCCCAGAAAACCCCACTGCACCAGAGCAAGCACCAGGAGCAGAAGCACAAGAGGAGAGCAATGAGCCCAGAGGTGGAGAGATGCAAAGATCAAACCAGATGAAACCAAACCAGAGATGCAAAGACCAGCGATTTCAAAATAAAATCCAACAGCCCAGGGAAAACACGGTGTGTTCTTGCCAAGGCTATCATTTATGCCAATTAAAAAAAAAAAACAAACCAAACTGGCATGACACGAAGGAGAGCTGCATGGTATTTCCTGAAAAGGGTGTGGGGAGCATCCTTGGAAAGCCTGCCCTGCACAATGTTCTTGCTGTTTCCAGAAAAATAAAGTTTGCTGTGACCCACCTGTCCCTGAAAAGCAGCTATTTAGGGCTGGAACATGGTCAGCCCGGAGTCAGTGGCTGGGTCTGTCCTGACTGCAGAGCAGCTGGCACCTTTGCCAGGATTTGGGGTTTGGCATTTACCTGCAGCTTTTTAATTGCTGCAAAATGTCTTAGAAAAAAATGCAGGAGAGCTGCCCAAGCACCAAGTGCTCACAACTGAAGGTCTTTCCTCCACAGCTTTTGGCTGGTGGCCATTAACCCCCATACCAGCCCCCAGAGCCATGACAGAACAGGACAGGAGGGGTTTTCTCCTTTGCCACCTTTAGACTTTGGGAGTATTTTGACTCAGCTGGTAATCTGGGGGGTTTAGAGCAGCAGCTTTGGTGTTTGCCAGAGAGACAGCTGTGGGAGTGATGGATGAGAGCAGCCCATGGGACTGTGGAGAGACTCTGCTGGCAAAGGACAGGAGGGCCCCCATTGGGAAGGGACAGCTTTTGGTGGAGAAGGGAGTATCCCATGGGTTTGTGTCCCCTCATCCCCTGGCAAGCCAGGACCAGGACTCACTCCCCATCCCAGTGGCAGGGCATGCCTGGGGCTCACCAAGGGCATTTCTGAAGGTTTTGGCAGCATGCCCAAGTGAGATGCTGGCAGCATCTCTAGTAATCTCCAAGTGAGCTTACCCTTGACATGGAATTTCAACGGAGAGCATGGAAAACAAACATAAACTCACAGTTTGGATGGGTTTTCTTTTGTCTGAGCCCTGCTCAGAAGCTGCAGGCAGGCGGTATTTGGGTGACCAGACTGGATCCAGTGTTCTCTGGGCGGCCACGATGCTGAAAGAGAAGCAGCTCCACCTTAGGGCAGGCACTGGTGCTGGAGCAGGGCCGACCTCAACACCAATTCAACCATCAGCCATCAGCCATCATCTGTGCCAGGGACTGGCAATATCTGCTTCAGCCTGCAGCCAGACTTGGAGCAAACACCAAGGTCTCAAGACTTGGGATCAGTTTGGGGCTGAAAATTTGAGATTCCTTTAGTCACATTGAAAAAACAAAAAAAACCTCTAATGTTTGTTTTCTTTCCTAATGAGGTTGAGGGGGTAAAAAAGGCTGTTTTCAGCAAATCACTCTTTGCATCCTGTGAAAGCACCCTGAGACCCACAGTGGGTGGAAATCCCACACAGAGCAAAACTCTGCATTAATAAAAACTTGTCCTTGGTGGAAAAATAACTTTAAAAAAAAAAAAGCCAGTCAAAGACAAAGCAGGGTTCTGTGGAGCCCTGGACATATCTGGATTAGTCCCATAAAAATCAGATGTTGTGGCATATCGGTTTCCCTGCAGGAGACAGCAGGAGAGATGTTAACCTGGTCTTGATTTGAAAGCTGCTTATTAGTTCTCATCAAGCATAATTATGCTTCAAAGCCAAATGAGATGTCCAACTGAATTCTGAACACACATTAATGTTTTTAAATGTGAAAAAAAACAACCAAACCCTATTTATTGAATCCCAGCCAGACTCCAAATGATAAAATAGATGCTGCTAATGGCTCTGGGAAGGGAGGGCTGGAGCTTCACTGCAGCTTTGCCAATTAAATGGTTATTACTGACCAATTAGTCAGGAATCAACCCTGCTTTTAGTGATATCTGATTAAGTGTGTCCCGCAATTCAGCCTCAGTTGTTAACCAGGGGAAAGAAACACCTTCTCCCCATCAGCCCCCCTGGATACTCAGACTGGGCAGGGTTTGTGCCCACCCTGTTCATGAAAAAATCCCTTTTTCTTCCAGCACTACCACTGTCTTGGGGAAAATACATCTCAAGGACCCACCTAGGCATGGCAAAACCTTTCAGAGCCAGGAAGGAAATGGGAAGGAAATGAAGGAAAAGGGGAAAATTAACCACATGCAGAGGGTGGCTTCTCCCCCTGCAGCTCGCAGGTTGCTGCTGCCCGGCACATGCTGAGCCATGCCCATTCACAGGCTTTTCCAAATATTATCCCAATATTTTCTTTCAGTTCCCAGATAAATGGGCCTCTTCAGCAAGCTTTAAGCTTGCTCTGTTCCAACATTTTCTTTAAAGCAGCAGAGGAAACCTTTGAGTTGCGCCAAGCTGCTGAATCCTGCTTTCAGGGCTGAGCTGCAAGGGGTTTTCCAACAAAAAATAGGGGCAGTGTTGGGCTTTTTCCTTGTTTCATCAGGAAATATGAAGGAGGCCACATCAACCCTTAATCTTCCTTTCTTCCTGCCTCCTCTCCCACCCTGCAGTCTGTTTTTCCTGTGCTTCCCTGTGGTCTTCAGAAATTTCTGAGCATATTCCCAGATTTCCATAGGATGCTGTGGGTGAGGAAGAGCATCCTGCACAGCATCCTCCTTCTGAATACCCCTGAGCCATGGAGAAACTCCAGAGGACCTTGGTATCCCCCATGGGGCTGGAACAGCAAGGCCACAGCACCTGAGGGAGCTGAGGAAAGTGCCTATGAAATGGCCAGGGAGGGTGGAGCCAGACAAAAGATAGGAAAACACAAAAAAATAAAAGAGAAACTTTCAGAAAATGTTAGTGCAAAGATCCATTTCCTTCCAGGGACTGGATGCAGCAACGTGCAGAGGGTCCATCCAACCAAAATTATACTGAGCAGAGATGATGGCTCACCTCCTTGTTCCAGGTGAGGAGATAGCTCTGGGTGCCCTGGCTGGCTTGGATAGCACCTGGACAGGGAGAACAGCCCTTGGCTACAGGGACAGGGCTGGTAAGAAGCTTTGTGAGGATCTGAGGTGCAACAGGGTGAAGGAGGGGAAGGAAAATCTAAAGATATGAGAGCTTTGGGAGTCTCTGATGGGCTGGAGAGGGACAAGAGCAGATCTGGTACAAGGGGGCACTCCTCAAGGCATTTCCTGGCTTCTTACTCTGCCCTGCACATCTACAGCCGGTGCTTACAGGGTCTGAGGAGGGCAAGGGAGGTAATGCTCCCAAAGCACTGAGATTTGTGGGGTCTGTGGCAATGTGTCCTTGGGAAATGCCACTAAGAACTCCAAAGCTGTAATGTGCAGGAGCATCCCCAAAGTGATACCCAAAGTGATCCAGCCCTGGTGATGGGACAAGCTCGGTGACTGGGGATGGGATGTGACCCTTTCCCTCGTCCCCAGCTGGGTTCCTCCTCCTGGAAAGGGGGGGGATTCCCGTTTTCCCGGTCCACAGGATGGGGCATGAGGAGGGCAACAGCCCCAGCAGATGTGGGATCCGTTGTGGCCTCTGCCTGTCCCCGTCCTCTGGAGCAAAAGCCGCATCAGCTCATTTCCTCCCACCGTTCCTTTATCCCGGAGCATCCCTCGGGGCCGGGGCACGAAAATTCCCCGCAGGGCTGTGCCACGGGTGTCGGGGTGTAGCCGGGGACCTGGAGGAGATGGCAGTGTCCCCGGAGCCCGGGGAGCCCGGGGAGCCCCAGGCTGCCCGCGGCCGGTGCGCCGGGCCGGCACTAGGTGGGGATGGCACCACGCCGGGGAGGAGGAAGGGCGGGAGGAAGGGCAGCGCCGGGCTCGGGCTGCGGGGACCGGGATGGGCTGAGAGGGGCTGTGGGGAAATGCTGAGGGGAGGGATGGGGCAGGGGGGCGGGCGGTATGGCTGCGATGCTGGAGACAGAGAGGCAGGGATGTCGGAGGCAGCAAGGACCCGGTACCACATCAGGCGTTATTGCAAAGGCTGTGCCTGTCAGGCTGAGCTCTGAGGTCTCTCCTCGCCCCACTCAGGCTCCTAACGGTTCTTATTGACGTTAATTACATTTTGAAATTTTAGAAAGGAAGTATTTCCCACGTGTTCTCAGTCAGACGCTCTCCTGCATCCCAGAGCTTGTTCCATCCACGGCTCTGTGCTAAGGTGGCACGCTGGCACAGCTCAGAGCTGGGCAGTCGGTCACCAAGCTCTTGGAAAGGCTGGGAGGTGGCCACAGTGCTGGGAGAGGGATGCAAAGTGCCTGTGGCCTCAGTGCCACCTCACTGCAGGACCAAAGAGGGATGGATCCAAGTCAGGAGGAAAACTCCATCACAGGGAGTGTTGAGTGTTTCACACTGGCTGCTCGGCCATGCAGTACCTCAGAACCTGGCTGGGACACAGCAGGCCGATGCAATAAGCCCTCCACTCAAAAGGGTTTTCTTGCTGTAAATCTTTGCAGAATTCACTTGACCCAGTCCTACCTCACGAGCCACCACCAAAAACAGGGCACAGTGTAAATCCCATCCCCTCCCTGCTCACACCAAGACTCAGCTCATTTCCACAGCCACTGCACAAAGCATCTTCAGGGAAAGCATCACCCTAAAATCCTGATCCAAGAGACAAGATTTTTCCAGCCTCCTCCTGCAGGGACCCAAGCATTGGCAGCAGGAATTTGGCCATCAGCATCTGCCGGGAAACCCTGAGGTGAGAAACAACTGTTGATACACGTTTTTACACCAAATTTTGAGGAGCTGGTCTTATCACCAGTTTTGGTGCATAGATCACAGCCATGGACAAGCTGTTTAATTTTTGCTTTCCCTCTTCTCAACAAAAAAAGCCAACAAACCAGCCCAATCCTGCAGCATGTCTGTCAAAGTCCATGTTCACCACAGAAATGGTGGCTCAGAATGAGCCATTGAGGTCTGCACCCTTGAATCAGGGGGCAAAGGAAGTCAGCACCACTGGGACAGCAGCACAAATCAGAATATTGATTTAAATGTAGCTATTGATTTGACCCCTTCTGCAGCCTCTCTGTGTTCCTCACATGCTCATCCAAACCAGAGAGAACATAATTTCAGACAAACTCCATGGTTCCTTGCTGTCCAAGCCATCGGTCCCCAAAACTCACAAGTCCCTTTGTGCTCAGGAACCAGACAGGGTGGCAGGTAGGGATCAGATCAGATTACACTTCTCTGAGGGTTTGTTTCTTGCCACAGCAAACAAAATCAGGTTCTGAGGACATTATCCTATATATTTTTATATATCTCAGCAGCTCCAGGAGGACCTCAATGCTGCATTGCATACAGGAAAGCTGGTGGCTGCCATGCACCCTGCAATGTTGTCTCGCCTTAAACTCATCTAAAAAAATCCCTCCACAACCTTTGAGGCTGCAGCTTTACCTTCTCAAAGTGGCATGGACAGAGCAGAGGTGTTTTGGAGAGCTCCCATGCTTAGACAGAGCAGGGAGGCAGTGGGAGGTCAGGGTTGTGGAGCAGGAAGTGATCCCCCCCCAAATTCAGTCCAATTTGAAAGCCTGGCAAGCACTAACACTAACATACAGTCAGTGTGTTTATATCCCACCTTCCTGCTGGAGAGCAGAGGTTATTTTTGGCATATTTTGTCATTGGTGGAGATGTCAGTGAAGGCCAGGAACAGTGCAGAGCTGTTGGGAAAGCCCAGAGGCAACTGCCCCAGGCACAGGATGATGAGATGAGGGATGTGGGAAGCTGCTCCAAGCCATTTACATAGGGATTGGGTTTTGCCTGCAGGATGTGGGGCATAGCCCTGGCTTCAAAACACTCTGGGACTAAGAACAGCATGGACTGTCCTATTCCAGCCCTATTCCAGCCCCACACTGCTCCCATTCACCCCATGCAGCACTGGAGCAGGAGTGAGGAGCATCCTGAGCCCTCCCCCACCAGGTGCTTCACTCCTTCCCACCTTTCCTACCTGTGCACGAATCGTGGCCATCAGCAGGGCACCAACAATGGTGTTCTGGCATCATCAGTCACCTCTTCCAGCCTGCACTTGCTGTCTTTCATCAGGGCTTACTGCTCATGCTGAGTTAAAACAGAAAGGAAGAAGAGAGCACAAAGCAGCATCACTGTTGCCCACTTGCCATTGCACCACAGAGCTTGGCCAAATTCCTTCCACTCACTGCTGTTTTTAAGATCATTTAAACCACTCACCTCCCCCGTTTTCCCCCAGCAAGTGACCTCTTTACCTACCTGTAAGTAAGGAGGACTGCTTTGTCCCTCCTGTGAGCACCAGACATCCTCTGCAGCCAGGACTGCTCTTTCTGACAAAACCAGCAAGATCAGCAGGGAGAGCACACGAGTTCCTGTGAGTGCTTCCAAGCTGATGGCTTTGGAAGATAGCTGGGTCTTCTCTTCCACACTGGAACTAAAATAGGGAGCATGAGTAGCTGGAAAGCCCAGGTTTGATTTGGGCAGAAGCTTGGACTGGTATCAGCCAAGAGAAAAACAGGTAAAACCAGGATTTTGGCAGGTCAGAAGTTACTGGCCAAACCTCAGACCAGGTGTGATAACCCCAACTGCCCTACTGCAGCAGGGAATGTGGCTGGAAGCACCATCCTTTCACATGGCCTGTCCATAAAACACAAGATTTAAGCCCAAAAAGCTGGTAGTAAAGAGAAACTTTCTTCCATGCCAGTTCCAGATGTTGTGGTGTCCCATCTCCTCCAGCCTTTGCTGTGGCTAATTCCCCATGCATCGCCCACGGATTTGGCCCTAGTGTCTAGCACAGGTAGCACACTGCAGTCCACCTGAGAACTGATTTAGCCCCCCAGCCATGGTGCACTCTGAGAAGATGCCACAGGCTCTACTTGGTATCAATAGTCTGAATTGAGCCCTACCTTTGCACACCCATTCAGATCCAACACTTTCTCTGGGCTTCTTTGTATTAGCCCCAACCAAGCAGATTGAAATTAAGAACATCCCCATTAATTCACCATTCATATGAAGGGGTTGAGGATTTCTCCTCCAGCTCAGGAGCCCTGTGGCCTCACTGAGCCCAGCACTGGCTTCCAGTCTCACAGGCATGTTCACCTCCTCCCTCCCCAGTGCTGAGCAGATAACAGGGCAATTGCCATAATGAGTCTCTGTCTGTCCAGCCCTGCTCAAAGCAATTAACAAAGCCAGGCACTAATGAACTTGGCTTCAGAGCACCCCGGAGATGGGTTATTGTCATTTGAAGTGGAGGAAAACCAAGGCGAGAGCAGGTGGAGTGGCTGACCCTGGTCACAAGGTACCTTGGGTTGGATGCAGGAGACAGAGCTCCCTGCCTGGAGCAGGGAAAGGATGGCAGGTAGACACGAGGGCGACCACAGCTCTCTAATGTGGTGTCTGTGGCTGGAGAGACTGGTTTGTCCACGTTTGTGAGGGCAGGAGGGACTCCCCACCCATCCCAGTCCCGTCTCTGAGTGGCTGAGTGAATCCCTGAGTGGCTTTGGGGAAGCTGTATCTCTGCAGCCAGAGCTCCTGACACCCACTTTGGTGGAACTCCTCTACATCCTGCAGCCCAAGTTTTGCAAGACCCCAAATGTGGCCACTGAGGCACAGAGCAGAAGGACTCATGGGTCCCCTTGCAAAGAAACTTCCTTAGTCCATGACTCACCCTCCCACCCTCCCTGGTGTCACTCGTGACTCTGTTTCACTTTGCTGCAGCAGCATTTCACCATCTCTTATCAATGCAGAAGACAACAGGGCAGCCTGTTCTGGCTGCAGACACGCGCCCAACACTCTCCCTGCAGCATTTTTGGACCAACCTCCCTGTTGTTGTGAACTCCACATCCTCTTGTAAACGACAGGTTCCCCTGCAATGCTGGAGGGGGTCAGAGTGGGCCTCTCCAGGTCTGCCTGCAAGGATGAGGATAGATGATAAATCCCAGGGATGTGGCCTCTGCACCTCATGCTCTCACAGCACACACGTCCTCACATGCATGTTGACAGCATGCTAAAAATATTCTTCACTTTTTGACCGATTAAAATTTTCCAGGAGAGTTGGAACCACAGCCCCCACCCTATCTGTACAGCCAGAGGCTTCCCCTCACCTCCCCCAGCCCTGCCAGGAAAACAGAGAATACTGAACAACAGTTCCGGTAATTTGGGGATTTTTGGTTCCTTTAAAAGCCTGGCTAAAATATAATATTTTTTTCAATAGTTTATTTTGTGATGTCTGGCACCATTCTGGAGCTAAACTTGGCGCCCTGTCTTGCTCTCATATACCCACTGAGAAGACTGTGGGTGAGCTAGGATAATCCCACTTCCCACCCAAAAACCCATTTTGATGGCTCAGGAAATTATACAAAGAAAATATGTTTTAAAACCAGCTCCCACCTGGTGTTAGGCAACAGAGAGCTAATGCTGGCTTGGTGACAGCTCTGAATGCTGATGGCCAGTCACGATTTGACATATCTTTCAGAGGTGCCTGCTGTGCCAGGTAAAGAAGGAACCTGAAGGATATTGTCAAATTCCTGACACTGGCCAGGCCCCTCTGTGCCATCACTGATGCTTGTGGCAGCATTTTCTTTGCCTAATTTGGCTCTTGGCCATGGAGGAGGAGCAGGGAAGGCACAGAAGGTGTTTATACAACATGGGGATTGTCTTGGAGAGACCAGAGCCTTTGCCAAACTGAGCTGAGCTGATAGGAAGAAGATGTCATCAGTGTGTTTTTGATAATTATCACTAATAATTATTTGTCTGTAGTTTCTTTTAGGAGCTCCAGTCCTGGCTCAGCCCCTGCTGCTCTTGCAGCCCTGTAAAACTGAAGCAAACAGGAGGGTCCTATCCCAAAATCCTGCAGGTCAGAGGAGAGGGAGGGCAAGTGCAGTGCTTGGGCAATGCTGTGACCATGGTGGTCAGCACAATGCGTCCTTCCTCTTGATGTTCTCTCCCTGCTCACACCAGTCTGCTCACAGACACCCTGTCTGTCGTCCCTTGGCTTTTCTGAGTGTGTTTGGTGCCTCAGCCTCTTGTCAAAACCCAGATTCATCACAGCACAGCTATTAGCTGCTCCCTCCCATGTGAGATGTCTTTCTGCTGACACAGCAATCATTCTCCTGTCAACGTGCCTTGACAGTACCAGGATTTCTCATTTCAAGTCCTGGTGTGTCCCAGGGTGATTCCCAGCTCCTCCATTAACCCCTGGCCCTGCAGGATGGGGGGAGCCTGCTCTGATGGATGCTCTGCTATCCCTTCCACCTCTGGTTAGCAGAAGCTGGCTCCTGTTTTTCCTCTCAGCACTTGCCATACCTATGCAGAAAAGCATTTAACCTGGAGGTAGAGGGTGTCAGACTTTTATTCTCCTTTCCTTCTTATTTTCTGTGCTGAGAACAATGGAGGCAAGGTTTGCAGAGGGAGGTAATGTCTTTTTTTAGACTGACTGAAATAATTAGAAGAAAAACCAGGCAGGCTGTTGGGTACATGAGCCCTCCAGCAGGCCTGAAATAGCTGCAGCAGAAGTCTGCAAAGCTGAATACCAGTGGAGAACAATAGCTCTGAGCATTACTAGTTTTAACCACTTCTGCTACTAAAGACCACTCCCCAGCTGTTTTCCTTGGGGCATCACCCCTCTGCCAAAATCCACTGTCCAGAGACCACCCCATGGCCAGGAGCCACTGCTGTGGCTGAGGGAGCCACGTGGCTACACAGACCTGAGCCCTGGACATTGCTCCATGGAGCATCCCTTGCCTCTCGCCACTCTGCACCCTGTCCTGCTGCTCCTGGGGCCTGACCTGACCCCAGCCCCAGGGACACTGTGCCACCCCGGACCCTGCCTCACTCCTGGGACCCCGCCTGACCACGAGGACTCTCTGATTTCAGGCACTGTCTTACTCCAGGGGTCTGGTCTGACCCTCTCTGATCCCAGGGGACCTTGTGAGGCACCAGGGAGCCCCCTGACCTTTGGGACCTGCTGATTTCAGGGACTGTCCTACTACAGGGTCTAGCCTGATCCCTGGGGACCCTGCCTGACCCCAGGGACTGTATCTGACCCTCGGGGACCCTGCCTAATCCTGGGGATCCTATTGGACCCTGGGGTCCCCGACAGACACAGGGAGCCTTCTGATTCCAGAGATCCTTCGATTTCAGGGATCCTCGGATTTCACAGACATTGTCCCACCACGGGGGTTTTGCCGGATCCCTGATGACCCTATCCGACCCCGGGGTATCTCTCCTCCTCCAAACCCCACGTCCTGCTGCGGTTATCCTGTCATCCCTGGTTATTCTGCCCACCCCAGTGTCCATGTCCCACCCCGCAGCCGCCGTCTGACCGCAGGGACCCCGTTCCTCCCCCTGCCCTGGGCTCGGTCCCAGCCCGTCCCGGGGGATCCCACCCCCGTTGTTGGCGGGGGGGCCGGGGCCGGGCCAGGCAGGGGGGCCGGGCCAGGCAGCGGCGGGGCCGGGGCCGGCGGCGGGGGCATCCCCGCCTCCTCGCTGGCAGCGCCGGAGCCGCCGGAAACCCGCTGGTGCTGCTGCCGCCGCCGCTCCGTGTCCCCGAGAAGTTGTTGCCGAGGGAGAGCGGCGGGGCCCGGGCCGGCAGCCCCGGCCCGCCCGGCATGACCGTCCGCCCGGAGCCCAGCGGGGCAGCGGGGTGGCGGCCGAGCCCCTGAGGGGCGGCGGGGAGCCATGGAGCAAGTGAGTCCGGCCGGGAGCGGGACGGGCAGCGGGGGTGACCCCGGCACAGGGAGGGGGGATCCCCGCACCGGCCACTTCGGGGTGTTTTCGGGTGTTCGCCGGCGCTGGGACATCCCGGCCGCGCTGCCCCGCGGGACGGCGAAGGAGACGGCGGGCGGGGGGTTCTCCATCCCCGGCAGCCCCCGGAGCGGTCGGGCAGAGCCTCGGCAGCGCATCCCCGCAGCCCTCGGGATGTTGGCCCCGGCCGGGAGGGGCTGCCGGGCTCGGCCGGCGCTGGCACAGCCGGGCCGGTTCCACGCGGGCTCGGGCCGTCCCGAGTGACTCCCGCTGGGGTGTTGTCCTGCCCTGCTGGAGCCCGGCCTGGCTCGAATCGCCAGCTCGGACATGTCTACGCACCTCCAGCCTTCCTCACTTCTGTTCTGCTCCTCCTTTCTGTTTGGGACGGGTTTAACTCGGAGAAGGGCAGTTCGGTGCTTCTTCCGCACACGGTTTTCATGTCCATGGGATCAGACACCCTAATAATCCATCCCTGTGAGGATTGATTAAGATGCCACAAATTTGTTGACAAGTTAAACGGGTCTCTTTCTCCCCTCGTCTGGCCACGCAATTATTCCTGCTTCCTTTCCTTGGATGAGGTTTTGCTGCTCATGCACAAAGAAAGCTCCCGGTAGGACGGACTGCCGGAGGACTTCAGGCTCTGTCTGGTACATGCGATCCCTGTAGCTGTGGCTTGTCTCTCCCCCCTCACACCCCCTTATTTCAGCTCCCAACATTCTGTGGCAAGAATGAAAGCTCTTTTAAAACAGCAGGGAGACGGCAAAGCAGCCCAAGTTGGTAATGACTGAGAGTTGTTATTATCTGCTGGCATCCATGAAATTAATCCACAGCAGAGAAACTGCTTCCAGCTGGCAGCCACTGGCCAAAGGGGCTTCACACTTACTCCAGCGCTGGCTGGCCGCCTCACGGGCTTCTCTTCTTTAGTGATACATGACTCCTCCAAGGATTGCTTGTAGAAGGGGTGTCAGAGGCAGTTCCCCAAGTTCCACGTGGATCTGAGCATTTTGTTTCCAGTGGAACAATCTTCTGCTCCAGCAGGCTGGGAAGTGGAAGTGCTAACAGCAAGGTTTGGGAGATAATGCAGAAAGGGAGTAAAAGAGTGGATGTGTGGGGATGCAGGTTGTCTCCTGGGAGTTGTTCATCAGCACCTCGGTAGAAGGGAGTGTGTGATAAGATGCTTGATTGAAATGAAGTTGATGTAACTGGCTAAGGCACTTCTCTGCTCTGTGTAACTTTAAAAACATTGTGATTCAACTCATGGGGGTTTGTTTTGTTGGAAAACATGAAGATTGTGTGGGTTTGTGGGCCCATAAAATACAGGGCAGGGGAGGAGAGAAAAAAACTGCCTAGTTGTTAAATAAAAAGCCATCTTGTCTGATTCGGGTTCTCTGCTGAGCTGCAAAATGTGAGACTAAACCAAGCTGAAGGAGTGTAACTTGTGTTTCACTTATAATGCCACCATGATATAAATGCAAAAATGGCTCTTAGGGATTGGTTTTGGGAGTGATGCCTTTGGCCTGAGCTGGCATTGGGATAGCTTGGTTCTTTCATTTACACTGGCTCACTTAGCTGATGTCAGGGGGCTTCTTATCATGGAATTACCACAAGAATTAATCTAGCCCAAGAACATCCCAGAAAAGATATCTGAATATTCTGAATATTTCTTGTAGAATGCTCATATATAGCTGAGTTAACAACAGCAGCTCATGTCTTTGTGTCATGTTCCCATTTTAATTGTGGAATTGCAGACAGGGGACACAGGATGGACACAATGCCCTGCTGCCAGTGCCCTTCCCTGGCCAACCTCCCATTGCCAATTTGGGGCAGAGCTGGCATAAAAATAATCTGCAAAAATGTCAGGCACCATCTCTGAGACTCTTCTTGCTTTTGCAGGATCAAAGTTTGCAGTTGAATCATCTGGGGTTTTTATGTCCTTAAGCTGCAGGTGAGAGATTACAGCACCTGCTCCCGTTGTGGGATGTGCTGGGTACGTGTGAAGGGGAAGCTGCTGACCCAGAGCTCAGCAGCTCAGCATCTCTTTGGGTGCTGGATCTCACCCCTCACATCTGCCTTGTAGCAGGGACTGGAGAAGGCAGCTCAGGCTCAGGTGACTCCTGTGCAGTGCAAGGGGCAGAGCCCTCTGCTTGTGGCTGTTGTCACTTGCTGAGACCAGCACTCTCCATCTCATTGCACCTTCCCTCACCTTCCCTCTCCTGGGCTGCTCAGGTGAGGCTTGGAGTCATGGATCCTCTGTGTGGATGCTCCCAGGTGCTGGCACAGCACGAAGTCCTGCCTGGGATGGGGAGTTCCCCCATGCACGGCTCCTTTCAGGCAGGGGTTCCAGGCAGGGCTCCTGAGTGATCTGGGGAGCTCCAAGGCAAGCCTGCAGTGCCAAGGAGGGGAGGTGCAGTCCCTGAAAGGCTGGAGAGCCAGACCCCAAACCAGCTCTGCCCCTGCTGTGCCTCGTACAGAGGTGCCAACATGAGTCTCTGTTGTTTTTCAGAGGTAGATGTTAGGTGCTGTGTCTTCACAGAGAGTACTTTTACTTTAAAACAAATGTAGTTTTTGCTCTGCTCTGCAGATAGACATATTTACCATGTGACTTCAGCCTTTCTGCCAGGTGGGGAAAAAAAAAGCCCAGCAAAAATTCACCTGCCAAGCAAAAAAAAGCCTTAAAGAGTGAAAACATTTTAGCAGTTGTTGGTCTGGACTCACTTGAATAAACTCTTCATACAGCTACATCCATGCACAAGTGCTACGAGGGAGGTTAAAGTCCATGCCCAATTATCTAAAAATGACATCAAAAGGGTTCTCAATCAGGAAACCAGCAGGTCTGCATTTGTGCAGGAATTGATGTTTGCTGAAGTCGCAGATCTTGGCTGAATGCAACTTCCTGGCAACCTAAAAAGTCAAGTTTAAAAAAACCCCACGCTATGTAGTCCCTCCATTTCCCGGAAAACTTTTTGATGCTCAGTCATCCTGTATTGTGGCCATTTCAGATGCAGCTCAGTATAACTGAAATAACTTCTACAAAAGGCATCGAGGTTGTTAGAGGTTTCAGCCCAATTTTCTTTTAGGTGAAACAGTTTATTTGAGTTTCATGTTCCCAGTTTGCACCCGAGCCTACCGGCAAAGCCCAGCCTCTTCCAGATCTTAGTGGAGGTCAGAATAAATGTGGGTGCATGGGGTGTTTAAGCTGTTTTTCTTCTTTTCATGGGTGCGAGCTCCCTCTTTGGAATAAGAGCTTACCCTGATAAAAGCTGCTGTCCAAGGGTGTGTTCAGTGGGAGTTTGGTGCATGAAAACAGATTTGTTAGCAAGGCTCTCCTCCTGGCTGTGGGAGTGTCCAGCTCTGACTCTGTTCCATGCACTTGGGATTTTCTCATGTTATGAAACAAGATGTCTGAACTTCAGCTGGTCCAGTTTGGGCAGTGAGGGCCATTTTGGGATGTCTGGGGCTCTCTTGCTTGTCACACACCCTCTTTTTGTGTGCCAGCTCTCTGCAGCAGGATTGCTGCTATTACATTTGGAGACATGGAGAAAACTGAGTCTGGGGGAAGGTGGGGTCCCTGGGAGGAGGCTGGAGGATTTGGGCTTGGCCTCTCCTCACAAATCACAAGGTTGGTGAGGTGATTGTGTAAGGGGATTTGGCTCAGCGGGGGATTCTCCTTGCCTTGCTCCAGGAAAAGAGGCTTATTGAGGGGTCCATGGGGTGTGGGGAGCAGCATGGTGCTCCAAGGGAGGGGTACAGGGATCCTGCCTTTGCAAAGGCTCTTCCAGTGCACTGGAGAGGAGGAAAGTTTTCATCTTCAACCTGCTGGGAACATTTTAATGTGGATGTGGTGAAGTCCTCTCCCTCATGCTGTGGATTTGCCCACAGGAGTTGGTTTGGGGATGGTGACCAAGCATAGATGCCTGGAAGAAAAGCTTGCAGAAGTGGCCTTGGACTAAAATATAAGTGTTGCTACTGATGCCAGAAGAATCCATTGTGCTGGGATTCATCAGAAAGCTGGAGGAGCAAGGAGGAGAGGAGGCTGCTCTTTTTCAAGGTGCACTTGGTGCACGAGTGAGCAAGGAGTACCTCCCCAGAGAGAAGCAGAGCCCCTGGGGGAGCAGAGGAGCAAGGTGGACTTGTTGCTATCCCAGCAGTGTCTCCAGGGATTGCTGGGGTCAGTCCTGTGGGAGCTGGTTGAGTTTTCCTCTGGAAGATGTGATGTAGTGGGGAGGGACCACATTTGGTGGGTGCCAAAATCTTCTCTGGGCTGGCTTTCTGATGATGGAAACTCCTCATGCCTTCTGTCCTTGCAGGATACAAAGGAAGAAGTCTCAGAGAAACCAAAGTGTGCTCCAACTGCAGAGAAATATGGCTGGATTAAAAAAAGCAGCGGGGGGCTCCTGGGACTGTGGAAGGATCGTTACATCCAGCTACGGAAAACACAACTCGTGGTCTACGAGGATGAGGTATGGTCACAGCTAATGGCCTTGAATGAGGGGCAGGAGCAGGCCCCTGGGGACACATGCATGTCCCTGTGTTTTTTACTCCTTCCTCCAGCCCATTCCTTCTGAAAGGGCTTCTCCAGTTATCTCCAGGAAGGGCAAACGCTGTAAAAGAGACGGCAGCTGCGTTTTAAATAGATTACATATTATAAATATTTTAGCCACTGAATATTTTGACAGAGCCATTGCCAAAATAAAAAAATGGGGGGCAGGACATCCTGTGAGAAGGTGAACAGTGTAAAGCTTTGGGTGGAAGCAGGATATGTGCAATGAGGTTTTGGCTTTTGAAGGATAAAAGTGATTGTAGCAGGCTGACTTCCCACCTGCCACTTGAGAGGATGGCAGGCAACCCTACAGCCCTTTGGCACCCCTCAAGCAGCTCAAATTGTTGCCAGCCAGACTCTGCAGGGATTCTTTTAGCCACTGAAGGATGCAGAGTGAGGTTGTGAGTGCTTGCTGTCCTCCTTAAGCATGGACAGTCTGGATTTGGCTCATCTTTTCCCTTTACTTGAGCCAGTTCTGAGTAAAGGACCCCTGGGAGCCTCATCTGGGACTTCCCCAGATAAACTTCATGCCTTAAGTTCATGGCCACACTTAGAGCTGTTTCCAGACAAATGAGGAGTAAGAGCCAAGCCAAATCTGTCCTGCATTTTCAGGCGAGAAGAATGAAAAGGGCAGGGCTGGTCCTGCCAGGATGCAAAGGTGGCTTTGTCCTGAGTCAAGCCCTTGTTCTTGGGCTGGAAGCAGCTTCTGCAAGAGCAGAGTTTGCCCCAAAAGTTAGAAATGACAGTGCAGAGCACAAACTACACCAAGAGAGGTTTGAGATGAGGGGTGGGTCGGACTGAGCCCTGTGCTGGCCTGTGTGTGCAGCAGGGTGGGGAACTGTGGTCTGCACAAGCACCACGTGCCTGTGAGGTGTCTGGTCCAAGAGGATCTGGGTCATTTGTGGGCATCAGAACGATATAAAAGCAAAATCATGTAAAACTTCATGTGCAGTGTGTCAAGGGAAGAAGAATAGGGAAATGTTTCAGCAGCTGCATTGCTGTGGTGGTTTCAGGAACAACAGGACTGACAGTTCAGTTCTCTTTTTTAAAAACATACTCTTGCCTAATAAAGAAGATTTGTTATAACAATTTAGGTTAAAGGGTACTACCTCTTCCCTTGTGCTGAACACTCCTGCTCTTCCCAAATCCCAAAGCTTTCTGGTGTCATTTGTTCTTAGCTGTGAAATGTCAGGAAGAGTGCAAGAATAATGACAGAAGTCAATGTCAGGTGATGAGCAGTTCAGAAGGCCGGAGAAGCAAGGGGGGGTTCTCTTACCCAGAGGGATGCAGCCTGGTCCTGCAAACTGTTGACTCTCTGTAGATCATTTCCCAGTGCCCTGGACACCTGTTGACTCCAGCTGAAGCTTCAGGAACTCGAAGATTCAAAATCTATAAACATGACGTAGGTTTTTTTTAAAGGGCATGCCTTTAAAAACAAGATACATGAAGGCTCTCATTACCACAAGGGAAAAGGAGGCTTTTAAAGTAAGATTAATTTTCACAGACATTCAGAAGAAGGAAAAAAATCCCAATCATTTAAAGGGTTATTTTATTATCTCAAGAAGGAAAATGGCATTTGTAACAACCAGGCATAATGTTTTCTGGTAGCCTGTGGATTGTGGTAACATCCTGTAATAAATTGCATCTGTAAGCTACAGTAGCTGCAAGGTCCCATTATTGTAAATAAGGGATCATGTTAATATCTATAGGCTATTAAACTGGCTTACAGTGAAGTCAAATGTCTTAGGAGAGGAAATTGCTGCAAAATTATCTGGTAGCACAATAGGATAACATGTGATTGTGCAGACTTACTACAGGGAAACCAAAGGAAATGGCAATTTTCTGCACTCAGGAGGGGTCTTGTTGCAACAGAATTGAGGCAGTTCATGTTTATTACTGTATTTATCTTCCTTTAATGTGAGTCAGGGCAGCGTGGCTGTCTCTATCTTACTAATGGGGAATGAAGTTTTTGAGATGGGAAGGGTTGATGTCTAGGCAGAGTCTGTGGTGCAGTGTGCTATGGTGGTTTGCATTTCTGGAGTTCAAGGTGCCATTTTTCCCACTGGAAGTTCTCCACATATCTGCTCTATGTGACCCTGGAGAAGGACACAACATTCCAGACCATCCTCTGGCTGAAACATTTACAAATGGGATTGTTCAGTGCTTGCTGAAAAGGAAAGGAGATAAAACCTCAGGCAACAGGAATAAAAGGCATATCTCCATATGTATGCTGAATTAGACTTGGATGGGTCAAATGGGGGGGTCAGCTTCCATGTGGGCAGGCAGGAGGCTGAGCATTTCAGCTGGTCTGAGCCCATCAGATTTCCAGGAACTGAGCAGTGCCTTGGACTCAGTGTGCTTTTCTCAGTCCCTCCCGTGTCCACCCCTTCACAAAGGGCTGCTAATGTTGCCTTTAGCAGTTGTTTCCTATGCAGGCCACCTCGTTGATGCAGTTGCATGAGCTTGGCTGCGCTTGTAGCTGAGGTTTAGGTGCAAAACAAGAGCAGAGGGGACGGCCAACACGAGATAGAGACAAATACATTGTACAGTGTTGCTGGAAAGGATAGTCTGAGCAGCACACAAATACCATATATCATTATCAGTAGCAATCTCCAGGAATGTGCTCCTGACCTGCCCTGGGAACTTGTTCCCCAAGTTCCCTGCTAGTCAGGCTTTGGGTTTGGTTAAAAGCAGAGCCACCTCCTGAAGGAAATGGCAAATGCCTATTGTGTTACCTGGAGCAGATGGGGTGAAAGTCATCCCACACGGCTTCGGGTTTCTTTCAGCGGATGGAGAATGGAGGGAGATGGATTTCTTCTCTGCTGTGCCTGCATTTACAGCACCTGCATCTGTACCCTCACCTAAATGAAGATGCAATTAAGCAAGATGTTTGTATATTCCATACCCAAATGTCAGGAAAGGAGGCACTTATGCAAGTACAGGGTGCTCAGATCCCAAGAAACTGCTGTGCAGGTCGGCACAGAACCAAGTGGGTTATTTTGTAGTGGGGTTTCTTGTCTTCTTGTCTCTGCATATTCTTGCAAGAATAAAAAAACCTACAGAGTTGTTTTTGGGTTTTCTTTCTGCCTGAAGACCAGGCAATTCTATATAGGGTGGCTAGACAGATCAATATTATCACTTTATGGATTAGAAAGCATCAGTCATGAGTATGGACTTTTTTACCCCCTGAACAGTGCAGCTAGTGCTTAGACCTGTCTTCTTCTTGTTTTAGGGTTTCTTTGTAAGTGTATTATTTGACAGGGAAAAATCCTACTAGATTCTAGAGACCAGAGGATCCACTTGGTGTTCAACAAATGGACACTTAACATCTGCATTTTGCCCCTGATAAAGTGATAGCAAGGTATACCCAAAACTGATTTGTTAAAACACTTTGAGAGCCTTAAATAGAGAAATAAATTATTATTTCAGGTCTAGACATTTTACACTGAATGGAGGGCCTCAACCCCTGAGTGTGTGTCAGTGAGGAGGTTTTTGCTGGGAATTACACCTTCATATAAATAAAAATTGCAGGGAATCTTTTTCCCCCGCCTTTTTATAAACTTTTCATTAAGGAAATTGTTTGCCAAGTGTGATTCTTCGGTTAAGCACATGCATTAATATGTCCAGGTGTTCAGTAACTTTCTTCTTAAGGGCCAAGCCAATAGACACAGATATGTTTGTCACAGGATGTGCTTCATGAAGAGTTAATGGAATAGTTTTTCTGTATTAAATCATGAATGTAAGGGTTCTGTACCAGGATTGGGCTTATCCAGAACATGTGTCAGGGCAGTACTCTGGAAGTGACCTTGTCTCTGCATGGTGCTGAGTGTCCTCCAGGTCCCAGGAAGCTGAAGGGACCTGGGGACCTGCATCAGGGTTGGGTCTTTTTTCTGCATCTTAGTGTTGCAGGACAGATATAAAGGATCTCTTTGTGACCCAGGTAGGCTCACAGAGTGGGGATGGCTGCTTGCCAAGGGTAAAACATAGACAAAAGCCCCATTCTGGTGCTCCCTGAACTCAGATGCTTTTCCTTTGCCTCATACATGGAGTTTTTATATTTCTCTGGCTGCTTTCTTCCCTGCTTTCCCTGAAGAGGATAACTCACTTGAAAAGTTCAGGTCCTTGAGATGAAGGAGCCATAGCTTCAACAGTCAAGGTGTTTCCGGGAGTAAGTGTCCTGCATGTCCACATCCTCTCTGCCCTTGTTCCCTGGCCAGGTCACAGTCCCCAAAGCCTCCCCAGGGAAAAGACAGACAGCATGAAGGCAAGAGGCAATCTCACAGCAAAACCACAACTCTCCACCCTGCCAAGTCCCCTTGTTCCCCAGCTTGGTGTTCCACAGCCCTTAGGAAGTGGAGCACAGCTTGCACGGTGAAGAGTTCCAAGAGGCAGGATGGGTGGCATGGACAAAGAGGGTGACAGGGGCTCTGCTGGGGACAGAACTGCTCGAGAGCAGGGAGGGTGGGCAGGAGGCTTGGGGCTGGTCTCTGCTCAGAGTGCTGCCGGAGCTCTCTGCATCCTGAGCCCGGGGAAGGAGCTGGGAGCTGCACCGGCCGCGGCAGGGCTGTAACGTGGGCGGTCTTCCTCTGAAGGCCAGGATGAGATCACCCATCCCCGAGGCATGTATTCCTGACCTCACCCTCCTCTGTCATTTCTTGGCCGCGGAGGGGTTATTATTTCCATCCCTGTCCTTTTGCAGTGACACTGCGATACCAGGATTGCAGCAGGAGCCTTCAAAGGGCCCGGTAGCGTCAGCAGGATTTTATCAGCTGGGTTTTAGGTTTGGGCAGGATTAATCTCCTTCTCCTAGTATGCGTTTTCCCAGTTCACATTCACCTACTCAGTGTTAAATGAAATAAACAGTAATGTCATTAAAATAATAAACCTAAATTAGATCCAGACGTCCCTCGGTGGCTCAGGACTTGCTTTGTGTATCGGCATCAGCCCTCCAGGCCCCCATCCCCAGATAGGAGGGTTAAAAAAACTGAAATACAGGCTGAGTTCTGCACAGCGACTTAAATGTCAAGTGGTAAAGGGAGGAAATTCCCCGCAGCCCACTTCCCTCTGAACTCTCCATTCCCTGCCTCCAGCCACGCAGCAGCTTCCTGGCTATGACATGTTTCCTCATCCCACACCTCCTTCTCCGCTACAGGAATTGCTAAATACAAACTCATACGGGCACAAGGAGCTGCCTTGGGAGCAGATCCTGAGCTGGGGGTGGTTATGGCCAACGATTTTAATTCAGGATGGTACTGTGAGGTTCATGAGCCATGCTGACTGTAGCACTTCACTGGCGAGAACTGCTCTGAGATTCTCACTGCTCATTTGTGCTTAGCAAAAGGGAGCTTTGGTCTCTGCTGGGATACTGAGACATGAAGAATATTATCTGCCCAGTGTTACGCTGCAATTCCTATTAGGGATGGTGCTCTGCAGCTGAACTGAGCCACGCACCACGTGTGGAATTTTAGTTATGTTACTGGGAGAAATGAGCCAAGATCGCGGCCGGCAGTCATCAGTGGAGATACTCCAGAGATAAATATTCCCCGCTGAGATGCTGGCCCAGACAGTTTTGCTGGCTGTACGGGGCTGTATTTCCAATCCCAAGCGTTTTGACAGCTCAGAGTGTGGCTGCAAGAGGGCTGTGTCCATCACACATGGCTCCTGCTGACCTTTGTGATGTGAGGACCAGTCTGCCCCAGCTCAGTGTTGCAGCAGGGCTCCCCTCTTATCCCTGCTCTGGCTCAGGCTTCCTGAGGGGGCTCTTTGGACCATCGTGATGCTTGTGTCATCTTCCCTGTGAAGAAGCAGAATCACATCTCCTCCTTTCATTGTGGGATGGAGGTAGTGTCACTTCTGGCTGCAGATCCCTGGATGAGGCCAACAGCAATGACAGAAGCTGGTGTTACTGTCCCCAGCCTGTTATTTGCTCAGCCACTGTGGACCACTAGGCCTGTAGCTTAAAGACCAGGGTGTTTTCTTAATGAGATGCCAGCCTGCTTTATGGGGCTTTCTGGCTGCATGCAGGTTATTTTTAAGGCAGAAGAACTCTTAGACAGTTGCAAAGGGAAGAAATGCAGAATTTGATGATCTATGATTGATTTCAATGCCTCCTCTTCATAATAATGTTTCCTTCTCTGCAGGATGAACAGAAGTGCATAGAAACAGTGGAACTGGAGAGTTATGACAAGTGCCAGGAGCTGCGTGCACTACTAAAAAGGAAAAATCGTTTCATTTTAATCCGCTCCCCGGGTAAGAAGGTAGGATTGCCTTTCTCATCACCCTCGAGTTTGCTAACTCCAAAGTGAGTTCCAGCCAGCTGTGCCCAGAGCAGATGAAAAGCTCTGAGGCTGAGCTCCTTGGCAGCTGGGAGAAATGGCCTGTAGCTGTGATGGGTGTACAGTGTGTAAGAAGGAAAGCCACTGTCATATAGATTTCTTTCTTGTTGTGGGGAAAGGGTCTTCCTGTGGCTCGACCTTTTCCTCTTGGTTTTTTTTTTTTTTCCTGCCTTAGCATTTTATTTCTTCCAATACACCCTAAGAAATGGTACTTCTTAGATCATTCCCTATGGTTCCTCCTTGTCCTCTGAGCACATGTGGATGCTGCAGCTTTGCCCAAGTCCAGTGAAATCAGTAATTCCAATCCATGTACTGAGAAAGTTCCTGGAGCTAGGACCATTGATCTAAGAAACTCCAGTGCAAATTTACTTGCAGCCAAACACTTCCCAGGAGAAAAGATTTATTTTGCAGAATACATGAAACCCTACATCTGTAACTTCCTGCACAGCATCTGGTTAGATCCAAAAGTTAAAAACCAGACTGGCATTGCAAAGAGACTATACATTCATCTGAGCACTGGGTGTATGCAAAGACATCCTGCTGTACTTCCTATCTGTATTCATCATCACTACACATCTTTTGATGTTCTCCTTAGCTCCTACTTGCATGCTATCCATTTCAGCATCTTTATGGGCTAGAATTCTTCATTGTTACTTTGGGGTACTGCACTTTGCCTTCTAATTTCAATGTGATTTTTTTGGCCTTAGAGTTCTTACTAAATCTCCTCGTGCAAATCTGAGAAATTTTGGGGGACAAAACAGATTCATCTCCATAAGAACGTGAACAGGCACAAGTACCAACTTGCTGCATTCCCCTATCTCCGTTTTGTTTAAGTAAATGGAGATTGTTTGGTCCTTGTTGTCACTGTTGCTTATTCTTTCACTCCAGTCACTTAGTGTTTATTCATATAATAAGACCCCAGCTGAGTTCAGAGCACCATTGTGCTAAACTTCATTCAAAACAACAAAACAAGGATTTTCCTGCCCCAGAACCCTGGGCTAGTGAGCTCCAGCAGAGCACTGGAGCCCAGAACACATTAGGAAGGAATTCTTTCCTGCAAGGGTGGTGAGGCCCTGGCACAGGCTGCTCCGAGCAGCTGTGGCTGCCCCATCCCTGGAAGAGTCCAAGACCAGGTTGGATAGGGCTTGGAGCAACCTGGAATAGTGGAAGGTGTCCATGTCCATGGCAGGAGGGCTGGAACCAGATGTTTTTTCTCTTCTAACCCAAATGATTCTAGGATTCTATGATTCTAAGTGTACACCTATTCCCAGGGAGGCCAATAATACCCTGTGTGCTCAGAGATGGGCAGCATGGTAGGAACAGGTATTATCTACCAGAAGTTTACTGAGAGAATTGTGTAATAGCTGCATATGTCTCTGCACTGCTCCATGAATCAATGCAGGGTGTGAGACGTGTTCCTAAACCTTTCATTTCTTGCTATGAGAAAAATATGCCCAAACTGTGCCCAAAAGGGTAACTTCATCCTTTTGGCATGCTGGCAAGTTTACAGCTACCCTGTTTTTCATGCCACTGATTCAATGGAGACCTAGATAGAGGCTACTGTTTATAAGGCTCTTTTGGTGAAAGGAAGGGCTTTTATAAATGAAAAGTTCCCTGTTTGTGGCTCCCCTCCCACCCTTCTTTTGGCTGGAAATCTGGTGAGGGTGTTGACACACAACATACTTTGGCAGATGTTAGCACAGGCTTCAATTAGGAGGCCAACGTACACAACTGTCCTTCTTCTGTTTTGAAATCGCAGCTGTGGCGATATATATCAGTTAAACATTTTCCATTTGGGAGGCTTGCTGCCATCCACAGTTTAAAATCACCCTGTGAGCCAGCTTGCCAAGCCCTGCCACATCTTGCTAGGGTTTTTTCATTTTCACTCTCTCCTGAGCATTATGCTGAAGAATGAGTTTGAGGGACTTAGCAACAAGCTAGGAAAAGCCATTTCTGTTTCAGTGCACAAATCTTGAATACAGCCCAGTTTAGTTGCAGGGGAATCCCAGTTTAAATCATGGATGGGATATTTTTGAGCAGAGATGAATCAGTCAGTTAAAACTACTCTGCAGCTGAAGTTGCACCTGAATAAATAAGTTGTCCTGCTAAACACTGGTCGTTGATGATTGTACCCGAGATTTTGCTTGGCCTGTTGACAAGGATGACATTTTTGTTATGCTGTGACAATATGAGCATGTCACACGCCTGCACTGGTAAGGAACTGAAAGAAAGCACTGCCCCCTGAGCTTTAATTCTTTAGTGAAGGAAGCTGGCAGTGTGCAAAAGCCCTGTTCTGCTTAGAAATCTCAAATGCTTCATTCCATCCACAGCAATTAAGGGAAAACTTTTGGATGCAGAGAGCTGGGCTTCTAAGAAAGGGCAGTAGCCTTGGCCTGGAGACTTTAAAATGTACTACTCACAATGCAGAAAAGCACTGTAAATGATGCTTGGTGTAAACTCTGAAAATTACCAAGACTGGCACAAGTCTGGTGTTCAGTGGATCTGAAAAGCTTCAGGGAAGTATTAATATTGGGAAGAGGGTGGTAGTAAGGAAAGAGGCCACCAGCAAGTCCTGCAGCTCCTCAGGCATTCTTGCACCTGTGGTCAAGGATGGAAACTTCCATTGCTTATTTTTCCCTCCATCCAGTTTTGAGGTACCTGGAACTGCCTTCATCAGGGGCCCAGCCTGGAAGCAGCAGTAGAATGCAGTGAGGTTTGGGGGAGTCTGCTCCTGGGGTCTGCCAGTCTGGCTGAGATGCTGCATTGTTCCCAGGGATGATGTAGCTCTTGGTTCAGCTGCAGAAAACCACCAGAATCCTCTGACAATTGTCTCATAGAAACATGGAATGGTTTGGTTTGAAAGGGACCTTGAAGATCACCTAGTTCCAACCTCCCTGTCATAGGCAGGGAGTCCCTTGTCTTCTCCTTTCCCCTTCATGTTACATAACCTGACAAAATCATGTAGAAGAAGGCAAGAAATGACCTCCAATCTGGCAGATAGACTCTGCTGCACTCATGGTAGTTTAAGATGTTACTGACATAACTCTGAGGCAGCTTCTGCTGGAGGTGACCATCCTGTACCAAAAGTCAGCAGAAGGGAGCACATCCCCACCAGCAGTTCACAGGTAGTTCACAGTCCAGTTTAGCCCAGCCCTACTAGGCTTTGCACTGGAACAGAAAAGGACCAAGCACGGGTTTGTGTCACCTACCTCTGCAGCAGATCTGCAGAATTCCTCAGCAAAGAAAACGTGTTGGTAGCAGTCTTAAACTGCAGCTACAATCTCTCCAGAGCTTGTCTATTAAATGACTTAGCACAGGTACAAGAGACTGACCCCAGGAACACTTCTCATTCCTGGAAAGCAGGCTTGGCATTGCCATCAGCCTGTCAGTGCTGGAGAAGACTGATGTCTCAGGGAGGACAAGGAGCAGTGAGGGAGCTGGTGTGCTGCTGTCACGGACAGTGATCCGTGTGGGAGCTCCTGCTGCCTGAGGTCTCGGCAGTGATTCAGCAGGAGCTGTGCTGTGCTCTGAGTAACTGTCAGTAAATTGTGTAGCCTGCATTCATGGCTTACAATGGTCACTAGGTTTGGCCATGACAGCTTTTCCTGGCACACCAGCCTGTTGTTTATGGCGTGACTCAGCCTCAGCTGGCTTAGCAAGAAGGAGTGCAAATGTGTTACCCTGTCTGCTGTCCTCTCATATTGTCACTGACTCTCTGCCTTAAATTCCTGCTGGAGAGAAATGCTATGGGAAATACCCATCCTTAGATATATCTGCTGGCATCTGTAAATATTCAAATGAGTAAAGATACAGACAAAAGAAATTAATTTGTTCCTTGTTTGCTGAGAGCCTGGGAGTCTCAGAGTACCGTGCAGAGTCCCAGTGACAGGCAGGACTTAGACCAGCTTCTTTCTGTCTCTCCTCTGCAGCTTCCTTCTTTACAGAGAGCTCCCATCCCATTTGGGTGAGCTTCCTCTCCCCAGTGCTTTGGCCGAGGACAGGAGCTGAGGATGGATGCAGACAGACCAGGGACTGCAAGGCAGCAAAGAGGCTGTGGCTGGCAGCAGCCTGAGCATGAGCCTCTGAGTCCCAGCAGCCTGACTCTGCCTTGGTGTCTGTAGGTGTCTTATAAAAAGGAGAGAAAAAATTTCTAAGATACCTGGGCACTGGGAGGAGCCTGCATCTCTGTGTCACAGCCCCAGGAAGCTGTGCAATCAGGGAGCAGAGCTGCAGCAACACGAGGCTGGCAGTGCCCACACTGCCCTGTGGGTCCCACTGTGCTGCTCATCCTCACCCAGCTCCCTTCTGCTGCCACCATGAGTCCCTTTCTCTCACCATCCACTGGATCTGCACTGATGGCAAAGGGTTGCATGCCAGAGAGACATCTCAGCTTCTCATTAACGAGGATCCACCCCCCTGAGGTTCTCTCTGCTCTGCCACAGAGTTGCTGACACCAGTGCTTAGTCACAATCTGGGAGGCTTTATTTGGAATGAGGCACAGAAAGTGGCATTGGAAGAGGAAGCTTGAAGGGAGGCAGGAATCCTTCCCCTGAACAACGTGTACGGAGATTTCTAAACCCTGGTGTGGGCTGCCAGGTCTTTGCCAGGCAGTGCAGCAGCTCAGCTGCTCACAAGTAGAGCTTTCTCATAAGCTTGTATAATCACAAAGCTTTGGGGCAAAATCGTTTCCAAACAAAAAAAGTTTTTAAGCACACACAAAACCAGGCCAGCTTGGACTAAAACAAAATCTGGCCATCGCTCTGTTTTGGAGCCTTGCCTTCACTTACATTCCCTGGTTAGAGTGGCTCTTCTGCATCCCAGACAAAGGGCTCTTTTTCCAGAGGGCTGTGGGTCAGGCCCTAACCTCCCCTCTGAGCTCTCAGGAAGGCATGGCAAACTGATCAAATAAAGAATCTTTCCCCAAATTACTCCTTAACTCCCTGCTTGCCATGATGGTTGTGAGTGTCTGGCACTTGGCAGCTGTGATGGTAAATCCACAGCATTGGCATGAGAAATCAATACAGAAAGGAAGAACAGTTGGTTTCTAACAGCAAGAGTGGGTGTAAGGAGATCAGGCTTTAGTTCTGCAGAATTTCTGATGGTCCCTTCAGAAGTTGCTGAGACCCAGAACAGTTGCTGCTTTGTTGTGCCATGAACAGGGAGCTGCTAAGAGCACTCGACTGTCAGTCACCATTAGCTTTGTCCCCCTCATTTAATATAGTCCCTGTTTTATATAGACACTGCTGTGATTTTGGAATGTGGGGCCTCTTTTACAAAAAAGGCTGAGGCTACAACTTCTCTTGAAGGTAATGGGAAAGTGCAGAGTACCTATAGGATGTTAAATACCCCCAAAAAACTGCTCCAGGCAAAACCCCCATGAGGCTGTGTTTTGAACAAGCCTCTCTGTAGCTCACTTCTCCACCTGGAATTTCAGTTGCCCTGAAAAGGAATATGTGAAGCTCCCCAGATACTGTAGTGATAAGCAGGAAAGAAAAAAGACTGTCAGGGGAATCAGTAATTCTGTTTTCAGGGCAGGGCTGGAGCAGAGTGAAATCAATAAGACATATTGACCCAGGAGGATAAAACACATGATGGAATAACTCAGTAAGAAGTGCCACCCTGTTGTTAGGGACAGTGCTAGGAGTAGCACACACAGCAGGCTGACATCCTTGCAGCCCAGAAACAATAGGAGTGCCTACCTTTTAAGTGCTTCATTTTGCAATGTTGCTGGTGTCCTTTAGCACAGGAGTATTCCTGTGTACCTGTGCAGTGTGGATTAGGGCACCACATGGAGCTGTTTGGGTCCCAGCTGGTCTGCCATGGAGCCTCCTGTAAGGTGAAGATGATATTTCTCTCACCTGGAGTGTACTCTGGGGCAAAGCTACATAATACTGGTGAGGTGCTCAGAGAAAACAGCAGTGAATTAAATAACACCCTGCCTGTTGTCACTGCTGTGGGCAAGAAGAGATTGGAAACACTGAGCAAAGCCATGGAGCTGTCCTGGAGGAAGGGAAGAGCTGACTGGCTGGAGGACAGGCGATACAATCACCCATCCTCCCTCCTTATTTGGGACCCATACTTCTTGCCAGTTCCCTTTTATATGGCCAGCTCTTCCCTTCTTCTTGGGGCAGCTCTTCAGATCCTAGAGAGTGCCTGTCTTCAGTGTTCACTGCTGGATTTCATTTGCAAACAGAAAAAGATATGGTGAATTTTTGCACTTACATTGCTCTTAAGCCTCATCGTGTCTGTGTTAGAGCAGCCAATGTCAGTGCCCCACATACCAGTATCAGTTCTGTTCTGCAGAGCCACAGGAACAGGGAAGCAGGCAGAGCCCACTGCATGCAGCCTTCCCATTCCTGGTATTCTGGAGGAAGTGGGAGATAAACTGTTTTACTTCATCTGAACCAGCCAGTATGACTTGGACTTTCAGTCTGACTCTCTGCAGTGTGAGCATTTGCTGTATAACTCACTGATGCTCCAAGAGCTATTCCAAGTGTTTTGCAGAAGGGAGAAACTTACGTTTTTACTACTTTAGTAGTTACCAAAATAAAACTACAACAAAAAGCTGTCCAGCATAACAAAATCCTGTTCATGGGAGCTATGCCAAAGCACAAAGGAATCTGTAGTTTAAACACAAGCTAGAAGTGCATGTTATATAGAAACTGAAGTGATCCAGAGGTATCTCTGGTCCTGAAAAGGAATGCTCAGCCAAAAATTCTCTCTCTGCTCTTGCAGGTTCATGATATCAAATTTCAAGCTCCAACTTTGGAAGAAAAGGAATCGTGGATAAAAGCTCTTAATGAAGGGATCAACAGAGGCAAAAACAAAGTATTTGATGAGGTAAGAGAAACAGTTTTCAAACTCCTGTGTTTCTGTATCTGTTCTTATTCATGGCTCCTTTAGCTAAAAGCAGAACTTGCCTGAACTCCTGTTCTCCCCATCCTTCCTGCATGCCAGCCATGGTCCAAGCAAAGGTGCTGTGCAAAGTAGGGCAGGTTCCTTCCCTTCAGAGCTTGGGATCAGAGGATTTCTGGGAGTCTGCCTCTCCCAATGGAAGCAGCTGGTGCAGAGAAGCAGCAGCAGCACTGAGTTGTGCAGGGCTGGGATGCAGCCCGGAGAGACTCATCTTCCCCACACTGCCATGGTCCTCAGCACCAAGCAGCCTGGAAATGGAGGTACTTGGTTAGGATATAGCCCAGTCTTCATGACTGGAAAAGTCTGAAGTGACTCAGTCCACCAGCTATTCCGCCTGCAGTCTGGAGAGAAGTCTGGTGGAAAGTTACTCCATGGCCCTGGCCAAACCTGCCTGCCTCTCAGCTGGCCCCAGCACACCTGCACTTTCAAATTCTCCTCCCATCCTGCTGTACAGAGGGGAGGGTGAAAATTGCACAACCTAGAATCTGTTTAACCTTGCCCTGCTCCCTCTTAGTTTGTAAATCAGCCCTGAGCTAAACCAAAGGAGCAGCATCTCTTCTGCAGGTCTTTCAGTAACTGAAAGGAAATCAAAACCACCATGGGAATGACTCAAGAAAAAACGAGCAGGGTAAGGAGGGACAAGGAAATCAGCAAAGCTGTTTAGCAAAGGAAACCAAAGCACTGAGTAAAAGTTTTGAGAAAAGGGCTAACCTGTGTAGATACAGTGCTAGAGGTCTAAACTCTTACAAGTTGGACTTTGCTTTTATTCAGCAGAGGGCAAAAGCATATGGGTACAGTGGGCAGTGAACTCTGCACACCCTTCAGCAGCACAGCAAGATGGGATCTTGGGTCACCTCCCTGCCCTGTGATGTGGGGTTATCCTCCTTACAGAGGGATCCAGTCTCTAATTCTCAGTCATTCCAGTAAGGATCAAACATCAGATTTAATGTTTTTCCACACTGGCCAGGCATGGGCTAATGGGTCAAGACCTCAGCTGGCTTGGATTATCTGTTCTCCCCCTGAAGGAGCTGTAAAACCATTCTGCCATACCAGCCATTTTTCTCTTTAAATCCCTTTTTCACCCTCACCAGCTTCCCTATTGTAGAAAGTTATATCTGTTGTACCAAGGACACGCAGATGTTTCAGTGTCCCTGGTCACTGGTGCTGCCCCTCCATGGGGAGCAGACTCCAGCCCTTGGCCATCACAGTGTGGGTGGATGGTCATAGAGCCAGCACAGAGAAACACCCGTCTGGGCACTGGGACCTCCCTCCTTAGGAGTGTGAGGCAGTGGATTTCTCATCTGATTCCAGGAAATAAATTTGTTAATTCAGCTGGAGCTGCAATTAATCCAGGTCACTGCTCACACCTTCTCTTCAGTGTCCTGCAGTCATTAGAGCTGTGGAAGGGAAGGGCTGTAACGAAGTGCTGCTGATATAGTTCACAGTCAGGTCACAGTTATTAATGAGCTTTCACCTCTAAGATGGAAACAGCAGTTTTGGTGCTGTGTTCTGCCAGATGCAGGAGCTGGTCCAAGCACAGGCTGCAGTGAGGACAAAGCTCCTTGTGTCCTTTTTTCCCTGCCTCTTAGGTGGAGATAAGTTTAGCTATTGCAAACCTTGGAGACCTTAAGTATCCATCACATACATGCAAGGCTTTGCAGGCAGGCTGTAATTGAGCTCTGAGGTAAAGACTAGAGGTGAAATGCTTCAGCATTTCATTTGTGACAGTGACAACATTATGGACGTATCTTGAGAAAGTAATGATCCTCTTCCTTTTTTGTTTTCCTCCTCTTCCCCCATTAAAGGTGAAAGTGGATGAGAGCCTTTCCTTGGACCATGTGACCCGGGACAGGGTGAAGGTGTCCCACGGACGTCGGCCACCCACGAGAAGTCACCTAAAGGAGGTAAGTGCACCCTGATGGAGTGGGCCATCCCGCCAGCTGGGATCCCCGAGAGCTGCTCCTTCCACCCAGGTACCAAACCCCAGGGGAAAGCTGACAAGGGAAACAACTTCCTGCAGGACAGACTGTGCCAGCACCTCTCTAATGAAGCTCCAGGTTCCCATAGATCTCTGTCTGCTGCAGCACCTTACCATATATTTAACTTTTCATAACTCATAAGCTGTTTCACTATCTGGTCAGAGCCATTAGAGATCGAAGCTCCTATATTTATTTTCAAAGATAATTTTGTAGCCACAGTGGTCTAAGGGTAGAAGAACTGCATGGTCCACAGGGAGAAGCTGTATTTTTACTAAGCTAACCAGAGAAAGCAGACAAGCTTCCCTAGGTCTGAAACAGAATACATTATTCCCCCAGGCAGTTTTATAGACTCACTTGTCTACTTTTAACTGATTTTCTGGGTCTGTCACTTAAAAAAAAAAAAAAAAAAAAAAAAAAAGAAAAAAACCACAAACCTGCATTTCATTTCCAGGGGAGAGTTCTTACTAATGTTTGATTCCTATGATATATGAAAAAGTTTCTACAGACAGATTGATATTTTAGCAGAGCATTAATCACAAGCAAGGAAGTTTTTAAATCAAACCTTCTTTCTTCTACTTCCAACACTGACTTATGTGCCTGCACAACATTCAGATGACCCTTGTGCATAAAATGATACCTTGAGACTTTTTACTTTGCATAGAAATGGAGGGAGAGTGTCTCTCCCAAAGAAATGCATAAGAATGAATCATAGATTCCCATCCTCCAGAAAACCGCAGAAGAAAACATGACAAAAGTCACAGCAACAATGAAGTGTGGATTCTGTTGCCTAATATGGGTTCAGTAAGGTGGAGAGCCCTTCCCTGAGCACTAAAAACATCTCTCTTCCCTGCTCAGATCACTATTTTCACAAGATACCTCTGAGGTTGATACCTCTGAGGTTAATACCTCTAAGACATCTCAGCCTCAGCCAACATCAGGGGAAACTGACTTACAAATTTAGCAGCAGGAATGAGGGGATAGAGCCTGCAGAAAGATGTGCATCATGGCTGCTGGCTGCAGATTCATGAAGGAAATGGCATGAACATGGATTTTCAGTGTTCAAAGCGGGCCAGGTGAGGATGGGTAGGGGGCAAGCTGCCAGGAGGCAGCTTGCCTTCATCTCTGTGCTGGCCTGGAAAGGCAGAGAGGCTTTAACTAAACTCTCTGCACTGCAGGAGCCTGGCCCTGGCTGCAGCTGTGCCTTCGTGTGGTTTTGGGTTCCCTCACACAGGAACTGTCACCGCGGTTCTCCCTGTGGGGCACTGAGCTTACACACTGCAATGTCTTTGCTAAGTCCATCCTTTTTAGGACAACCTCTCTACTAGTGAGATTTGCACACAGCCTGTGGTCTGAAGGAGGTTTAACCAGCTGAGGCTTGGCCCTGGTCAGGCCAGGATGACCAGGGGTTAGAGGAAGCAAGCAGAAGGTGACAGGGTTTCAATCCCTGGCCAAGCAACCTAAAGATCAACTTGGTTTATGACAAGCTCAAAAGCAGAAAAGAGAGCCTTTGTGGGGGCACATTGTAAGTGAAGGGGGTAGAGGGATCCCACTACCACAGGACAGAGAATAAAAAAGCAGAGCTTAACACTAACGCCCACAGGAAAACCAAGAAATTAGGCTGTTGTGTTACAGGCTTTAAGACCGTCTTTTCAAAAGAAGTAGTAAAATAAGTTCTGTGCTTTTCTTAGACTCAGGGGCTGCTTTGGTTTGGAAGGGACCTTAAGAATCATCTGCAAGAGCAAAGAACTTGACCAGGTGCCCCTTCCAGCTTGGCCTTGAACACTCCAGGGATAGGGAGTCCACAGCCTCTCTGGGTAACCTGTGCCAAGGCCTTACCGCCTTTATAGTGAATAATTTCTTCTGAATATCTAATCTAAACCTGTCCTCTTTCATCCTAAGGCCATTCCCCCATGTCCTGTCACTCTATGGTCTTGTGAAAAATCCCTCTCCAGCTCTCTTGGAAGTCCCCTTAGACACTGAAAGAGACTTTAAGGTCTCCCTGAAGCCTTCTCTTCTGGCTGCAAAACCCCAGCTCTTTCAGCTTGAAGCAGCAACCCCTTGCTTGCCATGCTGGTGGCAAGGGTTTTGCATTTTAACTTGAAATTAAAGGATGAAACTTAGGATCAATGATAGAAATTGAAAACTTTCTCTCTTGTTTTTCAGGCTGCCAAATGTACATCAGATGGTATCCTGCGATTAGATCTGGATATAGTAGACAATGGACCACCAACCTTTGATTCCACTATCAGTGAAAGTGACAATGAGCCACCTCAAAAAGAAACTCCCAAGCCCCCTATGCCACCCACAAAACCCACTGGCACAAAAGAAAACCAGGAGGCAGAGAACAATATTCCTGACCAGGAACATAAAAAACCTCTGTCTCCTCCGCTGCCTCCAGATAAGAAGCTTAAGGAATGCATCACATCAAAGGACAGTGTAAATGCCGAGGAAGAGGACTCTGGAAGTCCAGAGGAGAACGTGGAAGAATCCCAAGCACCAAGTGATGAGAACAAGGAGAACCTCATTGAGGTCAGCAACAGGGTTATATCAAAAGCTCCAATTCCACTTCCTAAGAGCATGCCAGACAAGCTGAAAGTAGCTTGGGACCAACCAACCATTGAACCCAAAAAGACAGAAGACTTGGAATCATCAGGAGATGATGGC